TATTAACCTGATACACCCTAAAGTTGGAGAATCAGTGCAGTAGTAATTTCCTCTTGTGGCAGAACCAGAATCCCAGTCGTTTATAATTCAGATCTGTGACCTGGTGCTAATCTTGTTATTTCACTTTCCTTACAGGTCCCCTCCCCTCACGATGCTTTTCCTTTGTGCTACCAAATTCTCTGCCTCTGCCCCTTCACCTTGCACAGACATCACCGCCTTCTTGAGTAATGACTCAAGTTCTCTGCCAAAGGTGCCAGTTACCAGCCCAGAAACTAAGACCCAGAGAAGTGGTCCATCGGTGACAGCCACTAAGAAATCAACCACTTCTCTGGAATCATTTTTCCAAAAAGCTGCAGAAAAGCAGAAAGTCAAAGGAGCTTCACTTTCATCCCTCACCGCCACTACCCAGGCCCTCAAGAGCAGTTCACCACTCAAGCTCTCGTTACCTTTCCAAACCAGCCGCACTACAGGCATCGAGCCCTTCTTTAAGCAGAAAAGTCTGCTTCTAAAGCAGAAACAGCTTAATAATTCATCTGTGTTCTTCCCTCCACAAAATCCGCAGTCTAGTCCTAAGAAGTTACCCAACAATTTTCCATTAGAGGATCCAGATTCCGCCCCTGTCTGTGAAGAGGTTGTGAAGCTAGACTTCTTTAAAACAACTCCTGCAGAGATGGATTCGACCCAGAACAGCTTGAGCGGGCTTGCTTCTTTCACTTCCCAGTCTGCCCTGGCGGCGGCTCAGAAGGCAACTGCGACCTCGAGTCTTCTGGCCACTGAGGACCAAGTGCCCTGTGAGAAGTGTGGCTCTCTGGTACCCGCGTGGGAGATGCCAGAGCATATGGACTATCATTTCGCACTGGACTTGCAGAAATCCTTTTTGCAGCCCCGCTCTTCAAGCCCCCAGGTTGTTCCTGTCAGTTCTCCTCAAGGCAAAAGAAATCCCAAGAGCCCTTTGACCTCCAGTAATAAACGCCCGAGGCCTGAGGGCATGCAGACATTGGAATCATTTTTCAAACCATTAGCACACTAGTGCTGCCCTCAGGCTTGCTGTAGGGCTTTAATGTGTTGTCTATAACCCGGGAAATGGAAATATGTGCACTTTTCGAGGAAATTCATAACTTTTATTTTTTTATAAGAAAAATAATCCATTTAATTACTGAGTTAAGCTTCCATCTCCTCATGGGCATGGATTCTAATTTCCTTGCTGATAAGAGATTTTGTAAAAATTCATCTTCCAGAGATACAACTGCTTTGAGTTTTTGATCATGAAGTTTTAAGGAGGCGGAGTCATATACTAAAAAGAATGTGTGGGCCTTGCAGCCTGAGATCTGGTTCCAAACCAGGCTCTGCCTCTTGGAGCATGTGGCCTTAGGCAAGTCACGTTCCTCACTTTTTCTCATCTTTGAGATAATGAGCAAAATTGAGATGCCTTATAGATTACTGAAGAGTAAGAACAAATTATAAAGTACTGTCGCCTAAAAAAGAACTGAGGAAAAATCAGTTTTTCAAGCCCCCCCCATCTCTGTGACAGGGGCTACTGGGTAAATACTGAATTTCATATAAGCAAACTGTAAGATAGCCAGTTTTAGCTGTTGGCCCTTCTACCTCTTGCTCTTGTTCTAATGTATGAGATTGTTACTGCAGCACTTCAGGAACTCTGTTTAGACTGGATAAATCACAATCAGAACTAGATCATCCCTAGAACTCTGCTACTCTGAGTCTGATTTTGAGGAGCAGCAGCATCAGCACCATCAGGGAAGTTGTTAAAATCATCTCAGCCTCACTCTGGCCAGTTTGGCTCAGCGGTTAGAGCATCAGCCCCGCGGACCAGAGTTGCAGGTTTGATTTCCAGTCAAGGGAGGCACGTACCTTGGTTGTGGGCTTGATCCCCACCCAGCCCATCAGGGTTGTGTGGATGGCAACCAATCGATGTTCTCTCACATTGGTGTTTCTCTCCCTCCCTCCTTTCCTCCCACTCTATCTAAAAATATCCTTGGGTGAGGATCTCAGCCTCACCCCCACCCCAACTGAATCAGAATCTATTAACAAGGGATATCTTAAGGTTTGGCAATACTGATCTAAAAGATACCAACAGCTAGCCGGGTTTGTAGAGGGCATTTTCTTAAACCCTCAAGTACAAATTTAAGAAGTACTTGGGCCTCCAGGTCACTGGTGTGTTCACCTTTTCTCTGCTGAAGTGACTATTTTGCTTAGGGTTTTAAATTATTGTAGCTTTTTTGTACTTGTCCATGTTTATAGTACTATATTTTTAGTCTGTTCTTACATGTGGAAAGACAGCTTTTCTGATGTGAGAACCTTGAATGAAACTGAAGATGAACTGAGGTGGTGGTGGGGTAGTGGAGGGAGAATGGTGTACATAGTCCTCCTCCCATACATATACTCAAATCAACTGTTTTTTAAGCTTATTTATAAACTGGGGGTCTGTATTTAGTTTGAAGAAGAGGGTGAAACTATTTGAAAACTATTAGGTCTAACAGGAAAATTCTTCCTCCAAAAATAGTTTCCTTTTTTTATGGCAGTTAAATGTCTGATAAAAGACAGTATTCACTAGTAGGTCCTTTCCCTACTACATCTGCAGTTCCTGAGAGGCAAGACCTTTTCAGTGTCTTGCACATAATAGGAGCTTTGTATTTATTGGATGAAACATATATAGTGAAACATTTTAGTGAAAAATTTTAATGGTTACCAGACTGGGACAATAAAAATATCCATACTATTGGGGCAGGGGTTGGGGGCTGCCTTATGTACCTTTTCATCCTTCTACGTTCCATTGACTCAGCAAAGTGGCTCACTAGTTCCTGGAGATGTCTCATTAAGTACTGGGATGATTTTCCAAAATGTCCTTCCTTAATCCAGGAAAAGTTAAAAAAAAATTTTAACAGGTGATTGTGTCGAGGTTTAATATTTCAAATCCATTTAGAACCTAAGTGAAATTATTTTAATTAAGTTGTTTATGACGAATTTTTAAAAAGTTGCTTTAAGAATGAATTGTGCCAGGATGTCATCATTCTGCAGGCACTGTCACTGGTAAGCAGTCAGAAGCCCAGCTGGGGTCCCGCTGGGGGCTTATCGACAGGAACATGTGGAGAAGCAATGTGGCAAGGAGACATTTAGATTGTATATATTGAGAGCTTGTGAGGATTACTTGAGTTTTGATTTGTTTGAGATGACTCTTCATGAACCTAAAAACTCTCCGAAGACCCTCGAGACATTTGCTCCTACCTGCCCACAGTGGTGGTAAATCCATGCAGGGATCTTGCCCTGGCCAGGTGGCAGTTGGTTAAAGCGCTGTCCTGATGTCAAGTTTGTGGGTTTGATACCTGGTCAGAGCACATACAAGAATCAACCAATGGCTTGGCTCAGTGGATTGAGTGTCGTCCCATGGACTGAGAGGTCCCAGTCCGATTCTGTCAGGGCACATGCCTGGGTTGTGGGCTCGATCCCCAGTGGGGAGCCTGCAGGAGGCAGCCGATTGATGTTCTCTCTCACATCAATGTTTCTATCTCCCTTCCTCTCTCTAAAAAAATCAATAAAAGCATATTTGAAAAAAATCAACCCATGAATGCATCAATAAGGAGAACAAGAAATCGATGTTTTTCTCTCTCTCCACTCTAAAAATCAATCAATAAAAAAATTTAAAAAGCCCATGCAGGTATCTCAGAAATGATAATCCTCGTAGCAGTTAGCCCTCCTGCTATGTCAGGTCCTCGTTCCCTAGCAACATTCTCTAGCAACAGGGAACTGTTACTTTTGTGCTGGCAGTTGGAAATCTGCTCTTTGGTGGATCACCAACTCCCCAACTACTTCCTGGTATTAAAGGTTCACTTCGTATTAAGTTTTGACTTTATTCCTTCACCTCCCCTTGACTGAAATAATAGTGTAATTAATGTCATTTATTTGGTGTATGTTATTTCTTTACTTGGCTTATTAAGAGATATTGTATGCTACTGGCTTATGAAATTATAATTCCCATAGTGGACTTGTGCAAAATAAATTGCTGGCTAAGACAGAAATCAGTCTCTGAGCATAATTTTGTTGCCTACCCAGAACAAAAACAAACCATTTTTTATGTGTGCTGAATATAACCTTTCCTCATAGCTCAGTGATTGTACAGAAGGAAATAAACCTTCCCTTAGTTCCCAACACAGGAGGAAGTTCTTCGATCACAGCCTTCTTAGTAGCAAGTTACACCAGTGATATGTTTTAAAGCAGCTGAGCTTAAGGGAGGGAAGCTATGGCTTTAATACCCTGCAGGCAGAATGCCCCTGGGGACCCCGGGCCACATTTATCATTAAATTTCTTTTGCAAAGTTCAGTACTAAAAATGCAGTCCCTGCTTTTTGTAGTTGTCTTTAACATTGGCCCCCATTTCTCTACCCATGAACTGTGATAATCAGGTACTCTGAACACAGAAACAGGAAGAAGGAACAAAGGTTTGGCAAGGTAGCCCTCATAGCTCCAAGGAGACAGTTTAGGCTATATAAATCTCACTTCCAGCTATTCTGCATTGCTAGAAAAAGAGTGAGGATCAGACAGATTACCTTGTCTTTAAATTCTACTCTTCATAAGATAGCTGGCATCCTAATCTCCAAATCTCTGACACAGTAGTTGGCTCCTTTACCATTGTGACCATTAGCAAGTGGCCAATTCCTCCAGTATAGGGAGGTCACTCATCTCAGCTGAAAAGGTGGCAGTTTCGCTTTCTATTCTGCTCACTCAAAGAACTATGCAAAAAAAAAAACCCCACACAGAACTATGCAAAACAACCTAGCTGGTGTGACTCAGTGGTTGAGCATCGACCCAGCACCAAGAGGTCACCAGTTCGATTCCTAGTCAGGGCACATGCCCCGGTTGTGGGCCCGATCCCCAGTGGAGGGCATGCAGGAACGGTCGATCGGTGTTTCTATCTTTCTCTCCCTCTTCCTTCCTCTCTCTCTAAAATCAACAAAGAAAAAAAAAAAAAACCTTAAAAAAAAAGAACTATGCAAAACAGGCCAGAATACTTTATCACAATACTAGAATATCAACTGCATGTGGGGAAGAGGAAGGGAAGAACGGCGAGTGAGATATTAGTAAGTCCTTTCCCCATTCAGGGGTGAGCAGCGTTAGGGTTTCACTTGTGTCTAATCCTGGAGAGAAATCTAGCTCGGGAAGCTGAACCTGTGTCTTAAGCATAAGCACAGTGTGTTCAATAAAACATTTTTATTCTGTACAATATATATATATGTGTATTTAAATATATATATGTATGTACATATATATATATATGTATATGCAAAGAAACCTCAATCAACAAATCCCTGAGTCCATGGGAACCCAGGACACTAACAAAGGGAAAGGAAGGAGTCCATGCCCTAAAGAGTAGGAAATATGGCAACATCTTTCCCTTTTCTCCAGGTTCCCAGCAACACAGGGAAAGGGATAATCACTGCAAATTACTAAAACAAGAAAAATTATGTAGGAGCAGGAAACAGGGTGAGGGTGGCAGGAATAGGAGCTGTGGGTCAGCGTGGGAAAGTAAAACATACTGTTTGATCCAGCATTAAAACCAATACATCACCCCTGGCCGAATAGCTCAGTTGGTTAGTGTTGTCCCGATACATCGTGGTTTCAGGTTCGATCCCCAGTCAGGGCACATACAAGAAACCAATAAATGCATATATAAGTGGAACACCATATAAATGTTTCTCTCTCTCCCCCTTCCTCTCTCTAAAATCAATTGAAAAAAAAATTAAAACCAACAGCTCACTGCAGAGGAGGGGACAAAATTGATTGACATGCAGCTGACCTTCGGTGTGCCAAGCCTTAGCTCGGCAGCCCCACGCCTGGGCCAGTACTACAAATAGCACCTGTGGGGCCTGAGAGGAGAAACTGGGGAAATGGCCCTTGAGTGAAGAAGGGAAGGGACATAAAGCTGAGGAATAGGCCACATGTTTCAGCACAGGATTGAAGCATTGCCATTCACTGTCCCTGTGCCATTTCTTCAGACCCTGGGCCACCAGACAGCCAGGAGCAGACATCTTCTGTCCACAGTCACGTCAAGATGAGCAACTTACATGGCCTTCAGAAGAGGTATAGAAAAGGAGTGCTTTCGAGAACCACTCCCAGTTGTGACAATTCCTGAAGTGCAGGGACCACACTGGTGAATCATGCCCAGTCCTGACAGTGGGGCCAAGGTGGCGGCAGTCAGCTCCCTCCGCAGACAGGCCATGAGGTTCCAGGGTTGATGAGCCAACCAGGTGGACACACAGTTGCTGAGCACTGCCCTGAATTCTCCTGTCTTCTCTTTCAGGGATTCCCCTCCCTGGCCACACCAAGCTTGGCACCCCTCCAGAATGGTGGCAGGGCGCACCCCTCTCTCCCTGGCCTATTAACACACAGAGCCGCCAACAGGGGGCAGCATGGCCAGAGTCACCTTATATATTGTAGGGACAGCAATAGAGCTGTGCCTGCGGGAGGAGTTCAGAAGCCCACGTTGGCCTGGGCTTCTCCTGCTGCAATGGCTTGCACATCGGTGACATGGCCGATGCCCTTGGTGACACCCTCCCGGAACAGCAGCTTGGCACCCACCTTCAGGTATTCTGGGTGTTTCAGGAAGCGGAAACGTACCACTGCCTTCTCCCCTGTCCGCAGCTTGTCCTGCAGCAGATATGTGGTCACTGGCCCTGGATAGTGCCTCCCGTCCCATTCTCTACCAGCCTGGGCTCCCCACCCTCGGGGGCCTATCAGGCTTCTACCCACCCTAAGTGGGTTTTTGGCCCTTTTATGGGATCAGGGAGTTCTCTCTGAATTTGGGGCCAGGCCTTTCTGGAGCAGGAGAATTCTGACTTTTCCCTGGAAAAACGTGCATGGCTGGGTCCCTCTCACCTTGGCATGGATCTTTTCCACCACTGCTGTTTGACGGACATTGCCCACGTGTACTGTCACCTGGAAGCCTCGCCGGAATGTGGTGGCATGGAACAGTAGGACTATTTCTGCCTCGAACACTGAGCAGATGGTGGGATTCATCTCGGGGCTCACCATCACCATGCCCTGGGGAGGCACAGCCCCAGACCTCGAATTAGTCTCTCACCTTTACAGTTTCTAAGTTTCCTTTCCTCTAGGTCTTCAAACACGAGACCTCAGAAAACAATATTTAAAACTCTCCTGCCCTGGCCGGTTTGGCTCAGCGTTTGGAGCACTGGCCTGTGGACCAGAGAGTCCCGGGTTTGGTTTCCGCTAGAGGCACATACCAAAAAAACTCTCCTTAGAGGGAACCCCTCCTATTTCACCTCCCAGGTCCACTAACCCTTCTAATGATTTGTATTTCTAGGGTCCTGGACACTCCGATTTCTCCACAGTGATTCATATTTAGTGATCTGTGTTTTATGAGTATTCCAAGCCTTTTCAAACACAGTCTGTGTAACTAGCTTCTTGGGGGTAGAGACCATGTTTCCTTTGAGTTCCCCTTAGGCTGGGGCTTCTTTTGTGTCCCCTCTCCAACCCACCCTCTCACCTCACCTTGCGAAGGAGTGCACGGTCAAAGTCCCCGAGGGCCAGCGTCGCAGCCTGACCAGCTCGCAGCACACGGCAGGCAGAGCGGTTGCGCTGGATGCTGCACACTCTCAGCTCCAGGAAGCAGCCATCGTCCGTGGGGCCCACCACCAGCTGGTCGCCCTCACGGCAGATCCCACTGCAGCCCAAAGGGCAGATGGCACAGTGTCAGCCTGGGCTCCCTTACTTCCTTCTCTGCTAGGGTCACTCAGAGCATTCTTTCCCTTCTAAGGTGAGTCCCTCAGGAGGGAGAAAGAGACCTAAATTCTGACTTGAAAAAAAAATTCTGACTTGGAGATGGGGAGATGATTGCTTCGCCCAAGTTCAGAGTTCTGACTCTGAGGGGTAATATCAGGAAAGGCAGTGATGGCCGGCAATGAGGGACCTGGTTTAATACTGATATCCCCTTGGGTTTCATCCTCTGCTTTGGAAAGAATCTTAAGGGACCTTTCATTTCCCTACTTGAAGCTGAAGCTGAATACACTCTAGTTTTCTTCCTGGGGTCGGTCTAACACCCACACTTCTCCCTCAGGGCCCTGGAGAGTCCCAGTAAAGGGGCAACACTTTCTTCCCTCATAAGCCACTAGACTAGCTTTCTCCAGAGCTTCTGACGGGGAAAGTCTAAGCTGTGGACAAGCACATCTTCTAGCTGGGCTCTGTTCAACAGCAGGTCCTTTGGGCCATGATGTCTTCCAGTGTATGGGTATGTGGGGACTGAGCGGGGTGGGCAGCAAGCAAGAAAATTCACCTGGAAAGTGTCCCTCCGACAACTGTCCCCACCTCTGGTACTGTGTAGATTTCATCTACCTGAAGCCAAAGAAAATTTTATCAATGGCCTGCGCAGGTGCAAAATCTCTACAGACTTGGGGCTTGGCCGGAATTCATCCTTCCTAGTTCCCCAGCTGGCTTACTGCCTGTTTGGGTGGACAATTACCTGAAACTCTGTCAGCTGCTGCATGAGTTCCTCCTGCTCTTTGCTGTTGGTGAGTGGTGGCAGGATATTCAGAAAGACTTTGAGCAGGTCCAGACTCTCTCCAGACACGCTGGACAGTGTGAAGATAGGGGTGACACTGCAGAGGGAGGCACAGAATAGACAGATGAGGGAAGTTCTAACAGGAAGCGGAGGCTAGCGCCCCATACTTGGAAAGGTGAGCTTTCCTCGGGGTGGCTAGGGGCCCCTCCTGGTAACCTTTGAGGAGCTTTGGACCCTCTCTGTGAGCCAGCCAAGGACCCATCCCAGAGCCCAAGGGGGTTGGCAAATGCCTGTTACAGCACTTCGTTTTCAGGGTCCCAGGCATCAGCAAAGCTCCAGGCTGGCTTGAGGGAAGGGGTCAGCCCGTTAGCAAAGACTCTCCCCACAATCCCAACCCGCAAAACCACAGAACTGAGCCAGAACTGGTTTGGTCCTGAGGTGGGACACCATGCCCTGTGGCAGCCTTCCCTGGGGACCAGGGCTCGGGAGTGAGGAAGGCTTACTTGGGTGACTGGGCAAACTGCTGGGCAGCAGTGACGGCATCATCCTCGGAGATGACCAGCATGGGGACTTTGTGGCAGCCAGGCTGCTTGAGGACCCGCTCTAGCTGGCGTACCGTCCTCTCCACTGTGGTCTTGGCGCACAGATCCACCTTGCTGACCACGACGAAGAAGGGCACTTTCAGGGCCAGGGCCAGGCCCAGGTGTTCCCTTGTTGTGCCGGCTGCCTCAGAGAAGGAAGGCAGGCATCAGGAGAGAAGAGTAAGAATTTGGGAGGGAGGAGAGGGGACAAGAGGAGAGTTTGGCTCCCAGATTTGAGGAGGCCCAAGGTAGGAGAGAGTCAGCACCGCCTCCCAGCCACATCTCTGCCCCAGTGCCTCGTACCAATCCCAGTGTTAGCACTGACGAGGAGCAGGGCACAGTCTGGGCAGTAAGAGGTGAGGCCAAAGATGGTGGTATGTAGGTACTTGTGATGGCCGGCCAGGTCGATGAAGGTGATCATCTTGGAGCTGCTCTCACAGATCTCTTCTGCCGTCCGCGAGTCACTGTAATTCACCACCTGGCCCAGAGCCCAGGGCACTCAGTGCACCCTGCCAGCCTCCCCAACCCTTTCAGAGTTGCCAGGACCTAAACCAGTCCCTGGGTGACCCTGCCTCTTATCCCTGAGCCCCGTTTCTCATTTAATTCAGCTGATTCCCATTCAGTTCTAAGGAGGACAGAGCTTGTTCACTGCCCCCAGGGCATTCATCTACTCTACTCCAAAAAGTCTCCACACTCTGCCCTCAGACTCTGTCCCTCACCACTGCCATCCCATCCTCACATCTGGCCCCACTGGGTCCCGTTGAGTGCATGCACCTCTCCCTTGCTGTTAAAGCCCAGGATCTCGAAGCTGATGCTGGAGGTTCGGCCAGACTGAATCTCATGTAGGTGGCGGAAAAGGTTGAGACGAGCCCGGCCCCGCCCATTGTCCAGCTCTCCTTGGGTCAGGACTCCAAGCAGAGTTGACTTCCCTGAGTCCACATTCCCTAGGACGGCCACACGAAGGTCCAGAAACTGTGGATGAATTGTCAGAGGTAAGGGCTACAATCCCTTATCTCTTCCCACTGAAGGTTGGGTCAAGGGCAGTACCACTCCCTGGGGACCAAATGATGAACTGGATAACCCCAGGCTCACAGGCCAGGAGACAGCCTGCCACCACAGGACTCTCTCAGGGAGCATGGTCGTGAAAGACAGGGAAGGGTGTGTGCTCACCTGTTGGTTGTCCGGGACCTTTCGTACCAGCACCTCAGTGATCTTCCGGGGCATGTCGCTATCATAATCCACTTCTCGCTCCCGAAGAACAGTGATGTCTGCCCCAACCCTATCACAGCAAGGCCACAGCTGCCACATCTCTTTACTCCCCCACCCCCAGCCTTCCATCCGGGCTCTGGACCAATGGCCTTCCCATACGTCTCAAAGAACTCCCAACACATTATTTCATCTCCTGCCACCCTTCAGTCTATCTCACAGCCACAGCTCCCTTTAAACAAATACCCGCTAACAAATTTTAAGTCAAGGAGCAAAAAACCTAGGTCCAAATGTGGAGGAGCCCAGAACACTAGCCCTCCCCACTTCAGCCCTCTGTCAAGAGAAGGCAGCAGAAGGAAAGGATCTCCTTGGCCACCAAGGCCTTAGGTGACTGGAAGCATGTGGGTCCTCCCCGGAGTTAGGGAAAAAAGAACCGAGGGAGAAGGGGAAGCATACTTCTCTGCCATCCGGTGCAGGGTCTTGAGGGAGGCCCGCATCTCCTCCTCAGCCAGCCCCACCAGCAGCCCATTGTCCTCTACCCCAATCTGGTAGACTGCCTCACCGCGGCCCTCCTGGAGCCGCCACTTCATCTGTGTCACCAGGTGCTCAAAGCGGTACTGGGATGGATTCACCAGCTTCAGCTTAGGGCAGGTGAGGTATCATGAGAAGATGAAATCAGAGATGCTCCTCCTAAACCCACATGCTCACCACCTGTCCTGCTACAAGGTCCAGAATCTTCCCTTCCCACTTAAACCTCCTCATGCCTGACCCCCTCTAACAGTGAGTCCCCCCAGTAGAATGAGGTACAGAGACCTTACCCTGAACCATATCCCTAAATTACTATAGATCATGAAGTTGGAAAGATCTCAGAGAAATCGTCATCCCACGCCAGCAAGGACAACCTGCACCTCCCCAGCCTAAGACTCACTTTATATTCGATGTTTCCATCTTCAGCCTGAAAAGAAACAGGGAGTAGTTACCAAAACCGGTCCAGACCCAACCCCTACTTCCTCGATTCCTGCTGGGGCCAGGCAGCACTAACTTTGGAGAGCAGGAAGCCTCGATGGCACCAGCTCAGGCAGGTACCTGCCAAAGGGCACTGGCTGACGAGCCCTCCACTCAGCCCCAATGTGACCTCTCTCAAGGAAAGGCCTCCAAGAACACAGTTACCCATCTAAGCCAGGAACAGAACCCTGAATCCCTCCTTTCTTTGATCACTGGCGGCTTGTTCTTCCTAGACGCAAGACCACCCTTCCCTTCTCCTCAGGCCCTCAAACTGCCATCCCCAGAAATCTATGTCTCCTCTGTGTCTGGGCTGTTGAAGCTATTCTTTGCCACTGGTCTGAGAGGCACCACTTTCTTCCTGCCCACCCTCTCAGCTGATGTCATCAAGAGTAAGAGGATGCAAGAGCTTCTGGACCAGGGCCAAAGGGTGAACTCAGCGCTGGTCACTACAAGTCCAATGAGAGAGGAGCCCAGATGACAGAGGGGCAGGGCTCCAAAGTTGGGGCTGAGGTAAAAAGAAGAAACTCAGAAAATATAATTAAGGGGACAGACTCACTGTGGCTTTTATCTTCTATCCTCTAACCCTCGTGCCTCAGCTGAGGTGGAATCCTGAGTCTACCCCATAATCTCCTCTACTTCATCCCGGTATTATGTGACCCAACACAGAAGTATCCTATTGCCGGAGCCTGCCCCTCTCAGGTGCAAAAGGATATGAGATTTTCTTGTTCTGCCTGTCCTGCATTTCTGCACTCCTCCTCCCTGGCCATTTTTCTTTTTCCCTTTCTGTCATCATTCCATCCCTTCAAGACCCTCTGTCTCCAGGCTCTTACAGGTCTTCACCTACAATCTCTATCTCTTGGAGTATAAGGAAGATCTTTACCCATCAACAAAGACCTCACTTTTTATCATTTTGACAGAGATGAAGAATTAGAATGAATGGCTTCAGATAAGTGGTACAAGGATGATTCAAAGTGTGGTCCCAGGACCAGCAGCATTAGCACCACCCAAGAACTTGTTAAGAAATGCAGATTATCAGGTCCACCTCTGACCTATTGAGTCAGAAATTCTAGGGGTGGGGCAGCAATCCAGGTGATTCTGACACATGCTAAAGTTTGATAACCACTGGTTTAGGCTCTTCTTCTGGGTCCTCCTTTCCTAAGATGGACAAAATAGCAGTTATTCTTTGCCTTAGGGAGTAGATAAAGCTAGTTTGTGGGGGCTGTCCCCACTTCCTCATAGGATAGGACAGGCAAAGGGCAGGAGGACTACCTGACTATTCTCTGGGGCATGTGTGTACACTCAGGGTTAGGTGCAGAGCATATTGCTCTTTTCCCGGGTACTCCCCTTCTCCCCATGGAACAAGTTTAGAAAACTCTTCCTCATCCCAGGATGTAGTCTCCCTTCTCTTAGTGCAGCACAAGGATGAGCCTGGGCATTCCATTCTGCTCTTCCCAAGGGGATGGGAGTGGGATCTCCTGTCCCCCCCTTTTCCTCCTGGCGTTATCTAGCTCTGAATGGGGGGATCCTCCTCCACACTCTTCCTCCCTGAGGTCCTGACCCCGGAGGGGAGGGCCACTCTCTCTATCCCTCCTTCCTGGGGTCCCGGGACCGGAAGAAGGGGTTCTCCTCTCCCCAGGGGTCCTGACACCGGAAGGGGGTACCAATGCTCTCCGTCCCGCCTTCCTGGAGTGCCGGGAACCGAAAGAGTGGCTTCTTCTCAACACTCCAGTTCTCAGGTGCTCACCTCGGGGGGCAGATACGGGGGGTTGTTGGCTTTGCTCCCTCTGTTCCTTCCGTTCTTCTTCTTCCCCTTCGGGCCCCCGCAGCCGCTGCTGCCTCCGGCCCCCCTAGACTTGAGGGTTCCGCCCATGGCCGGGCCCCCTCCGGGCCGGCAGCAGCCGCCGAACAGCTCCGATACCCGCGAGTCCATCCGCCGCTGCCGCCAGCCCTCCGCCCGGCCCCTCCCCCCCGCCACTACCGCCGCCGCCGCCGCCCCTACTGCCACCGCCGCGTCGGGCCAGCCAGAGGAGAGCGGGGTGGGGCCCTGCTCAGGCCACGCCCCCACCTTCTCGGGCTCCGGGCGCGTCAGAAACAGCCGCGGTGCACCACGGGATATAGAGTCCTCAAGTCTGGATCTTCCTCAAAAGAGGCCGCCGCGGGCCTACAACTCACAGGAAGCATGGCGGCGCGCGGGCCGCGGCGGGCGTCGGCGTAGGAAGGGGCGCGCCTTTGCTCGCAAAGGTCTGAGGGAGCTGTAGTCGGCCTCCCGTCTCCGCGCTCTGAACGGGTCGCTAAGGGTTTGGGGCGGGAGGTCACCGGAGGGCTTACTTCAGAATCAGACCTGGAGGGCGCCCCTGGGTTGCCCCTGAGCGACCCCAGACAGCAGGCTTTGGACCTGGAGAGTTGCACGTTCACGGCGACTGGTCCCTCCAGCCTGCTGGCTCCTCCCCGGCCTCGGTTTCTTCCCCGATGGTCGGCGTGCCGTCGGGTGAGTCAGGGCGAATGCCAGGGCGGAGGCGGATGATAGCCTAATTATGGCTGTTATTGTTACGACGATTATACCACCTTTACACAGCAGTCACTGCTTTATTACCAGGCTGGCACCCTCCGGGGGCTGGTTTTAGCAGTTCAAGACACCGCGGTGGCCCTGACAGGGGCCCGGAACCATAAACCAGCCTTGTCGCCGGAGGGTTACGAGGATGCCCGCCGCGAGTGTTGCCCCTCCTTTTTGTTTTGAAGCAGAACCAATCGGGGAGAACCGAGTTTGGTTTAGAAACATCCGGGTCTATGGGCGGGGCCTCGCCCTACTCGGGGCGGGGCTGGGGCTGGGGCTGGGGCTGGGGCTCGAGTTCGTCCAACAAACCCTAAGAGGGCGGGTAAGTGGCCCGGAATAGAAACTTGGCCAAGGGCCCCAGAGGATTGCTGACTTTTGACTTTCTTGCCAAGTCATCCCTCTTGCTCTTTAGGGCTCTGGCAGTCAGCAGAGAGTAAACATTTAGCGACCTGAGCCAGTGTACGAGACACTAAAAAGGAGTGTTGCTGGGTTGGGAGTCAGGACGCCAGGGTTCAATTCCCCGGCCCATGGCTATCTCATGACTCACTACTCATTGTATGTCCACTAACCCTCTCTTCACAAACATGGAGATGTTCACACGCAGCCAAGAAATAGAACAGCCCATCCCTCCAGACCTCAGTTTAACTTGGAAAATTAGAAGCAGCAACAGTGACTTACCTCTGGTGATCCTTTTAGGGGTGCAGACATGTTAGAGTCCGTGGCTTCCCCCCAGGACAAGGAGGGTGGCAGATTACTAATCAGAGTTGCTGTCCGTGAGGCATAACTCCCCAAAACAGTGGGAACAGAAGGACCATGGTCGAAATCACATGTGAATTCTCTCTTCTCAACCCTGTTCAGCTAAAGGAAGGTTATGCTACAGAGGTCAACCCTAGCCAGGGTCACAACCCTGCCAGGGGAACTGCTACATAGAAGCTGAGACTAAAGAACTCCGTGACAGATCTCAAGAAGGATGGGGATTAGAAGGGAGAGCTAAAACCATTCCAACTTTCTCACCAGCAGCAGCTCTGGGCTCTCATGATAACCAGGGCCTGCTACACCTGCCTGATAACACTTGTCTTCTCATCTTCATGGATCTTTCAACCACCCCAACACACAGTTTCACTTTATCCATCCCAACCACCTTGTCTCCTAAGTGAAGAACTTTTTTGAGATGAGAAGGGATAGCTTATTTTAAAAAAAATTTTTCCCCTTAATCCTCACCTGAGGATGTTTTTTCCATCGATTTTTATTTAAAATTTTTTTTTCTTTATTGATTTTAGAGAGAGAGGAAGGGAGAGGGGGAGAGAGAGAGAGAGAAATATCAATTGGCCACCTCCTGCATACCCCCACTGGGGATCGGACCCACAATCTGGGCATGTGCCCTGACCTGGAGTCAAACCGGTGATCTCTTACTGCATGGGTCAACGCTCAACTGCTGAGCCACATGGGCCGGGTTTCCCATTGATTTTTAGAGAGAGTGGAAGGAAGGGAGAGGAGAGGAAAGAGAGAAACATCGATGTGAGAGACCCTTTTGGTGCACAGGCCAACGCTCTACCCACTGAACCGTACTGGCCAGGGCCAGGGCGGGATAATGCATTTTGATATCCCATTATTTTTTTTTATCCTCACCTGAGGATATTTTTCCATTTATTTTCAGTTAGAAAGAGAGGGAGAGAGAGAAATATCGACGTGAAAGGGACTCATCGACTGGTTGCCTCCTGCACAACACTGACCAGGGTCAGGACGAACCACAACTGAGGTACCTGCCCTTGGCTGCAATCGAACCTAGGACTCATCCTTGGGCTAACGCTCTACTGCTGAGCCAAACTGGCCAGGGCTTGATATCCCATTCTCAAACCTGGCTTACCACAGACAGGAGTGAAGGCTGGCAGAGAAGTAGGTTGAATAGGGATGTCTGTCCAGGAGATCAGAGTCCTGGGAGATGGAAGACTAGTTATGTGTTTAGATCCTGCAGGAGTTATTTATGAGGTGGTTGGCTGTGGGATATATATGTATATACACACATACAAACATTTTCCTGGTATGTAATTAGTTATTTATTCTTTGCGTATAGTACTTTTACATAAGATTTTAATTTATTTGGAATTTATCTTTATGTAGGATGTGTGGTAGGAACTAATTTAACCCTTCCCCCCCCCCCCGTAATTGAATAGGGATCTGTTTCAAGTTATTTGCTTTAAAAAGTTGCCCTCATCATATACTAACATTTATATATACATTCATCTGTTTCTGGACTCATTCTGTTTTATTATTTGCTTGTTTATTCCTGAGCCAATACCACGGTATTTTAATCATTGTACTTCCTTTTTTTTTTTTTTTCTGGAGGGGGACACAGACCCAGGAGGGTAATCATTGTACTTTTATGGTATTTTTTTTTTTTTTTAATTCTCACCTGAGGATATTTTTCCCATTAATTTTTTTTTTTTTCTTTTAGAGAGCATGGAAGGGAGGGAGAGAGAGAGAGAGAGAAACATTGGTTGCCTCTGGCATGGCCCAACAACCAAGGTATGTGACCCTGACTGGGAATCAAACCTGAGACCCATTGGTCCACAGGCTGACACTCTGTGGACCATGCTGGCCAGGGCTATAGTATGTTTTGAGCTCTGGTCCCTACTTCCTGAAACACAACCTTTTCTTGGCCTCCATGACTCGATACTTATCTGTTTCTATTGATACTTCTCTGGCAACTCCTCAGTCTTCTTCACAGGTTCTTCTCTCGCTCTCTGTTCTCTTCCTAAACATTAGTGTCTTTGGGATCCTAGCTCATCCTTATTCTACACACTTCCCTCGGCAATCTTATCCAATCCCATGCTGATGACGCCCAAATACTTATCTCTGTTCCTAATAATGTTCCTAAATATCCATCCAATGAAACAGCAAACTCAACCTATCAAAAATTGGACTCCTTACCCACACCCCAATAAACCTGATCCTCCTCTAGTGTTCCCTCCTTCATTGAATGCCATGACTGGCCATAGAGATAGTGAAGTGAAAAATCTGTCTTCTTGAAAGCCTCTCTCTAGCCCTCCTCTTCTTCCTGGGATCAACCACCAAGTAATGCTCACTGGACCTCCTAAATATCTCTACGATCCACCCAGTTCTCTCCACCCCACTGTGACTATTCTAGCTCAGGCCTCTTTCACCATGCAGTTGGGTAATTACAGTTGTTAGCTCTAACTGGTATCCTTGCCTCCTCTGTTATCCTACCTGTAATCTAATCTTTACACTACAGCCAGTGTAGAGATTAAATTTACATTTTATAAATTTAATCATGGTACTCTCCTACTTAAACCTTTCAAAGCTTCTGCATCCCTTAGGATCAAGTTCAAACATGGGTTATAAAGCCTTGCCATGATCTGTGTTAGTCCACCACAGCTTTAACTCTTTATAACCTGAATTTTTTTTTTTTTCGTTAATCCTCACCTGAGGATATTTTTCCTGAGGAAATAGTTACATCGATTTTTAGATATAGTGAAAGGGAGGGGCGTGGGAGAGAGAGAGAGAAAAAAAAAAATCTGTGTGAAACATCAATGTGTTGATTGGCTGCCTCCCGCATGTCCCAACTGGGGCCGGAAATTGAACCTGCAACCCAGGTACTGGCCTTGGCCGGGAATTGAAGCTGCGACCTCTGAGTCAAACCGGCCAGGGCATATAGCCTGAATTTTTTGTTTTTAATCCTCACCTGAGGGCATTATTTTTTAATTGATTTCAGAGAGAGGGGAAGGGAGAGGGAGAGAGAGAAGAAACATGATGTGAGAAACATCAATGGGTTGCGGCACCCATGCACCCCATCTGGAGGATGGAACCCACAACCTGGGTTTGTGCCCTGACCTAGAATCAACCTGCGACCCTTCCTTGCACAGGACCCTGTCCAGGGCTTGAATTGTTTTCATTCCTTGAATAGAAGATATTGTTGTCTCTAACAGTCTCCAGGACCACTAGGTCCTCCTCTTCACCTTTATTCATCCTACAGGTCACATTTTCTTGGGCACATTTTCTCTGGACTACCCCTTGCTCCCGCCCCGTCTAGGTTAGGCGCCGCTGTTCTTCACTTCCACAGCCCGTGTACATCCCGCTGTATAATTCACCACCTTGTATCTATACGCATTGAACCCCTTATGGACAGCGTCCGCCTCGGACCTGTTTGCATCGTGTCCAGCACCTAGGACAGGGCCTGGCACTAAGTAGGTGCGCAATGAATGGGGAGAGAAAGGGTGCGAGAGGGCGGGTGTCCTTCAGAAGGCAGCGCTCAGTGGCAGAGAGCGCGTGGTTTCCCTGGGGAGCAAGGCTCAAATCCCACCCTGCTCAGACCGCTCCACTCTGCCGAGGCGCCGCGTCTACTTCCGGCCCGCCCAACCTCGCCGGAAGAGGCGGTGCAGGTTTCCCATGATACCCCGCGGGGCGCCTACTCAAACCGCATTCAGAGGAGGTTGTAATGGCAGCTCCAGAGCCAGGAGTGCTGTCCTCGGCCCCAGTCCCAGGTAAGGCGTGGAGTCCGGATCTCGGGGTACTTGGGGGACCTGTTTGTTCTCTGTCGTCGCTCCCTCCCGTCATTTATTCCCTGGCCCTTTTTCTGGCTGGTTTTCGTTGTCCGCTTTTCCGGGCGTCTATCCCGGCTCTGGCTCGGCCAGAGTGACTCCATCGCCCCATGGCCCTGGATCCCATTGGTTCACCCCTACTCTGCCTTCATCTCGGCGGTTTCACCCCTACTCTGCCTTCATCTCGGCGGTTTTCTGGACCCCGCTTGACTACACTTTCTCTCAACCCAGATCAGGGTCTCCACTTTCTGAGTGGAGCATCAATGCCCTGCCTCGGAAAGTCTATCCGCCCTCCCCCGCCGGCGCTTTCTCACCGTCCCGCCGTCACTTGTATCACTTTAGGCGATGGGGTTAGGAATCTCCCCGCCTCCACCCACGCCTGAGTTTGCGAGGGAAATGTGCAATTGTCGGGGTTCGGGTGGCTGATAGGGAATGAGAAGACTGGTTTTGACCTTGGAGTTTTTAATTTTTCTCTCTTGTCCCTCTGTGCGCCTACCAGATTTGAAGTGGTATGAGGAGTCCGAGGAAACCCGCGTCCCCCAGATAGAACTTCTTGAGACTACCACTGCCCAAGAACCTCCCAACCCTTCGGAGTCTTTTTGCGCCCGAGACTGCCTGGTGCCAGTGGTGTTTCCCGGGCCTGTAAGCCAGGAAGGCTGCTGTCAATTTACCTGTGAACTTCTAAAGCATGTCATGTACCAACGCCAGCAACTCCCTCTGCCCTATGAACAGCTTAAGCACTTCTACCGAAAATCTCCCCAGGTAGGCACAGGCTATCGGAGAAAGTTGGTGGGGAGACTTTGTGGCTATTATTAGATGGTAGGAAGGTTAAAAAGGGATCTAAGAAATCTTCAGGGCTTATCAGCTTTAGCTGCTGTAAGGAATGTGACATCCCATGGCTTCGACCACTTTCTCCAGTCTAATCTTTGATAATCTAATCCTCCCCACTTTTAATTTTGTTTTCTTTTTCTGAAACTCCTGTTGTGTTGCATTTGGACTTCATGAATTGACCCTTTAATTTTAATGTTTTCTCGCTCCAGATTTTTATTTTTTTCTTTGTTTTTTTAAATATTTTTTATTTATTGATTTTAGAGAGGAAAGGAGAGGGAGAGAGGTAGAAACATCGATGAGAGAGAACATCAATTGGCCGCCTCCTGCATGTCCCCCACTGGGGATTGGGCCCACAACCTGGGCATGTGCCCTGACCAGGAATCGAACCAATGACCTCTTGGTCCATGGATTGACACTCAACCACTGAGCCACACAAGCCAGGCAAGATATGCTCCTCTTTCTTCTACACCTGTCTTTCTTAGCTATGTACATTTTTAAAATATTTTATTTATTGATTTTTTTTTTTAGAGAGAGGAAGGGAGAGAGATAGAAACATCAGTGTGAGAGAGAGAGACTTCGATCAGCTGCCTCCTGCACGCCCCCCCTCCGACCCCTCTGGGGATGGAGCCCACAGCCTGGGGATGTGCCCTCACTGGGAATTGAACTGGTGACCTCCTGGTACATGGGTCCACGTCAAACACTGAGCCACACTGGCCAGGCTGTGTTTGTTTATATGTTCTACTTCTGGGATACTTCTTTGACTTTACATTCCAACACTTGTATTACTTTTTTCTCTTTTGGTATTCAGTCTTAAGGGCTCTTTCTTAATTTTTGCATGTTACTTTAAAAAAAGAAATTTATTGCCCTAGCCGGTTTGAACCAACGACCTCTTGGTGCATGGGTTGACACTCAACCACTGAGCCACACAGGCCGGGCAGGATAGAGCTCAGTGGTTTGAGTGTTGGCCTGCGGTCCAGAGAGACCCAAATTCGGTTCCCGCTAAGGGCACGTACCTCGGTTGCAGTTTGTCCCCGGCCCTGGTTGGTTGTGCGGGTGGCAGCCACTCTGTGTCCCTTTCACTTCGATGTTTCTCTCTCTCTCTCTCTCTCTCTCTCTCTCTCTCTCTCTCCCCCTCCCCCTCCCCCTCCCCCTCCCACTCTATCCGAACAAAAAATGGGAAAATGTCCCCGGGTGAGGATAAAAAAAAAAATTATTGATTGATTTTAGAGAGAGAGCGCGCGCCGAGCGAACGAGGAACATCGATCTGTTGTTCCACTTATTTCGGCATTCATTAGTTGATTCTTGTATGTACCCTGACCAGGGATAGAACCCGAAACCTTGGCATATCAGGCTGATGCTCTAATCAACTGAGCTAAACTGCCAGGACCACATGCTTCTTTTTAATAGCATCCTGTTGTCTGTACGAGCTTTTCTTACCTGAAGATATTATTTTATTTTTGAGGCTTTCCTCTTTTCCTTGCAGTGTCTCAATTTCTTCCAGATTCCTTTTCCTATTTGTTTTGGTCTCTGGCTTTCATGTTAGAGGCTTTTAGTCTGTGTCTGGTGAATATTTAAGAATGAGTCATCCAAAACTCTGTACGCATGGCTGGGCCTTGTGAGCTGATAGACTTTAAGAATATTGGGTGGCAACCTAGTTGTCTCTTTGGAGGACTCCCAAAGTCTTCTCTCTGGATAGAGGAAATTGGCAGGCGATCTAAGGGTCCTGATGTTTTCACTGAGTCCCCATGTGTTCACTCTTGTCTTTTGCAGTGCCTAAATCGGAAATTCCTGAGCCTTTCTGGGGTTCTGCTGTGTGAATCAGTTTGCCTCTCATGGGAATTCCCTCTGTCAACACTTGAACTTCCATCTGCTTTCTGTCCTCCAAAAATTTGTTGTTGCCTTTGGCCACTGTTGTTTGTTCTCCATGTCTATTTGCCCGTGCACATTCTCCTTCTCTTTCCCTACCCTCCATCCCTCCTGCTTCCCTCCTTCCTTCCCTTTTCTCCTTTCATTTAGTAGTTTTTCATATGGGAGCACAAATAAGCATGTATTCAATTTGCCATGTCTAACTGGAAGACCAATTACAGAATTGCTTTTATTAAATTAAATAATCCTCATTCCTGTTATTAGTCCTAGTACAGCAAAAATTTGCCACGTACTATGCCACCAAATCTCCTTGACTGTTTTAGTGGCTTATTTCTGGATGCCCTCCTACTTCAGAACACTGTCTTTGCTGTTCTATGTGTGGGACAGTTATGGTTTTGTACAAAGAATGTATTTTCCTTTTTGATATATTGTCAATTCATTGAATTGGAAATCCAGTCCCATAGTCTACTATAGCCCAACCAATAGGGTTCTTCAAAGGTCATTAGCTTTCCCCTACCTTGCCTTTTCTCTCACCATTCTTTGTCTCCATAGGCAGAGGATATGGTGAAGAAGAAACCTTGGGCCACCACTGAGGCGAGCAGCAGGAAATGCCAACAAACCCTGGCAGAACTGGAGAGTGTCCTCAGCCATCTAGAGGTTCTCTTTGCCCGGACACTAGTACCACGAGTGCTGATTCTCCTTGGGGGCAGTGTCATAAGTCCCAAGGAATTCTACGAGCTTGACTTGTCCCGCTTGGCCCCCAACAATGTGGACCAGAGCGTGAGCACAGCAGCTTGTTTGCGGCGTATCTTCCGAGCCATTTTTATGGCTGATGCCTTCAGTGAGCTGCAGGCTCCTCCACTAATGGGCACCATTGTCATGGCACAGGGGCACCGTGACTGTGGAGAAGATTGGTTTCGACCCAGGCTAAACTACAGAGTGCCCATACGAGGCCACAAACTGACTGTGACCCTGTCCTGTGGCAGACCCTCCATCCCAGTCACAGCCTGGGAGGATTACATTTGGTTCCAGGCACCAGTGACATTGAAAGGTTTTCATGAGTGAATGGGGATGCTTCTTAATCGTGAACACAATGTCTAAATGATCTTTCCTTCTGTGGCACCAAGTTACCCATCTCTTGCTTGGAGGTAGAGTTGCTGCCTGATAAAAGGAAGGCTGCCTGCTTCCCCTTCTCAGACTTCTGGTGAGATGATGGTGTGACTGGGACTGTAATAATCATCAATGAACAACATCTCTTTGAATCAAAGGTGGACTGGGTCAGACTTTTCTGTTTGGGGTTGGAAAGCAAATGTGGGCCCATAGACACTATTATGGAAGTATCCCTTTGCTATGGCCTTTCAGAATTTTTACCATGGACATAAATGTTGGCGTGACTCATGAACTTAAATATAAAATTAATGAATTCATATTAAATTTTCCTGAAACTCTTGGCTTAAAGAGACTTTCCAGGCTTGAGGCTAGATTATTTTGTCTTTCTCCTTGGTCTCTTATTTATTTTATTTTATATTTTTACTAATGTTCTTTCTCTTCGTCAGCCCCAGGCCAGTCTGGGAAATTAAGTGAATTGGCCAAGGTTCTGTAATGGTTTGATGTCAGTTGGGACTAGAGTCCTCATCAGCTAACTTAAGCGTTCTTTCCTTGCCACATACTGGTTTCGTGTGCCCAAAGCAGAGTTCACACGGGACAAAGCTGCTTGAAAGACTGAGCTGAGAAAAGAAAACAGAGAGTCTTTGCAAAACCTGATTGAATTGTAGGCTGAGGCCCCAGGACTGCCCTGTGGGATCAGCTCCCTGAGGCCAAATGTCCCTTCTGGAATTGGGCCTTGCCTATCTCCATCGCAGTTGTGTGATGGTTGCTGGCAGTTACTGTTGGCAGTATTGTCCTTAGGCAAACCCTACCTTCTTGCCTTAGCTAGTCTCTGACTTGGCTGTCCTGATTCTTACCGTTGTCCTCTCCAGCCTGATGCTGTCCTGACTACTAAGCATTGATGCTCTTTGCCCCTGCGAACACCTGCTTAGTTCTTGGAAGTAAGCGAACTACATAGTTCTTACGCTGCTGGTGTTGGCGATAGGGATGTGTGTATAAATGGGGACATAAATATATACTATATTTTATGTTTTAAGGAGAATGTTTTATGTTTTGTTAAGGAAACAAAATACTCGGGCACAGCCAGGGCCCCACGCCGGGCCCACTTTGCACACCTGCTCTTCAGCCTGCGCCCCTGTTTACAGCATCCCTGTGTATGTTCAATTGACTGTATAGAATTAGAAATCTGTCTATATATTTGTCCATGTACGTTTATTAAAACCATAGTACGAGCATGCTAAAAAAAAAAAAGAAAACAATATATTTTATGCTCTCTTTTAAGCATTTCACATACATTTTATCTAATCTAACAGCCTTGTTTTGGGTCATGGTCCCCATTTTATAGCTGAGGCTTGGGTAGATTGAATAACTTGTCTGAGAGTGGAAACCCAGTCCACCTGGCAGTAGAGGCCGAATGCTTTACATTGCTGTGCATCCTGTTTGGTTTTACTGTGAAATAACTAAACAGGGTTTGCCCTGCCAAAGGTGGTAGTATTGGAAAGCTGCAGGACTGTTTCCCTACCTGAGACCTGACATTGACAGGTGCTGAGTAAATATGGAATCAATGCAAACAAAACGTTTGAGTTCTTTTCTGTGCTGTGACCACCTGAAGCATATTCCACCAGCTAGAATTTTGGCTATTTCTCTGCCTGATGATATTACCTTATAGAAGAGGGACAGGGCCATATCGTCCACTTGGGGAGGGACAGGCTGGGTGAGGGTTCTGACTAAAGGGAGAGAGAGTTTGGAATAGGGAGTTATAAATTATTTTGGAATGGAAGACACATTAAGCCATGTCAGCTCCGTCAAATACTGATTTCAAAAGGCTTCATAATATCTAAACAACCAAAACCAAGTAATTATTGGGTAATTTAGACACTTATTTCTCTGTGCTTGGCATTGGAGCCCAGGTCATTTTGATTTCATGAATCCTTTCCAAAGGCATCCAGAAATTAAAAGATCAGTTACTGTCTATCTATGTTATATCAATTTTATTTTATATTTTATTTTTTCATCACCATTTATCCCCTCTATGCCTTCTTCCACCTCCACCCCTCCTCCCAAGGATCAGTTAATGTTAACAATGTGCCTGGCCAGTGTTGCTCAGTGGTCGACCCATGCACTAAGAAGTCACTGGTTCAATTCCTGGTCAGGGCACATGCCGGGGTTGTGAGCTCAATCTCCAGTCAGAAGGTGGGGGTGGGGTACAGGAGGCAGCTGATCCATGGTCCTCTCTCACATTGCTGTTTCTATTGCTTTCTCTTCCTTCCCCTCTCTAAAAATCAATAAAAATATATTAAAATAAAATAAAAAATGAAACAAAGTAATAAATTCCACCTCCTTCCCTGACAACAAGCTTGCTAAGTCACCAGTTTATGTTCGACCTTGGCGACCTTGGCTGGATAGGTGTGAAGAAGTAGCCAGTCTTTAGCTCAGGGAGTGAAGAGCCCCAGCTGCAGTGGGATTCTGCCCTTTCGTGTGTTGCTACCATTTGGACCTAAAAGCAACTGTTGTGGGGCTTAGGTAGGTAAATGGGTGGCAGTTGATGGGAAAGTAAAGTCTGCAAATGTCAACCTTTTTGTATCCCTCTGCACACTCCCTTTTCCCAGGGTGGCCCTATGCTTGCCCCATTGCCTCAGTCTTCATTTGCCACTTAGGTCGGATAGTACTATGGAGGGGGTAAAGAGAGACATCTGAAGATTGAAGAGAATAGAATGGATGGAACCCATCATGTAAAACCTGTAGTTGGTGGGAATTGTTTTAGATGTCCTAGACTTTTAGCACCAAAAATATTTTAAAACATGTTTTTGATTTTTTAGATAGAGGAAGGGAGAGAAAAATAGAAACATATGTGAGAGAGGTACATCTATCAGCTGCCTCCTGCGTGCCCTGCCACTGGGGATTGAGCCAGCAACTTGGGCATGTGCCCTGACTGGGAATCGAACCGGGACCTCTCAGTGCAGGGACCACTATGGATCCACTGAGCCACACCAGCAGGGCTCGCCAAGAGTATTTTAAATTATTTTCTTCAGAGATAATTCTGAGGCCAAGAAGTGAAATAATTCAGCTAGTGTCACTGTTGTGTTGCTTTCCCATTGCACATACAATGAGGACCCAATAAATGTAGACTCTTTGGAAGGACTCGGAAAAGGCAAAAATATCTGCCTTTGGGCTGGGTTGGGACCTCCAAGCTCACTCACACTGTAGCCTATTTTAGGGGAAACCACGCCTATGCTGTGATAACTGATCACATCTGCCATCAACTTGGGAAAGGGAGTGGGAGGGATCTAGAGTGCCTAGGCTTTTAGGAAAGTCCGAGGGAATTAGGGCTGGCCAGAGGCCCCGAAGGGCAGGGCCACCTGTGGGTGTAATCCTACTTCCTGCCTGGGGGGGAAGGGCGGGGCTTTGGGTCTCTATGGAGACGGCTTCTCCTAGCAACCCGGAGGGCGCGGAGCTGAGCAGCTGCCGAAATGGACTCGGAGAGCCTCCTGCTGTCCCTGGAGCTGGCGTCCGGCAGTGGGCAGGGCCTCAGCCCGGATCGTCGGGCCTCGCTGCTCACTTCCCTTTTGCTAGTTAAGCGCGACTACCGTTACAGTCGGGTGCTCTTCTGGGGCCGCATCCTCGGCCTGGTCTCCGATTACTATATCGCGCAGGGCCTGAGTGAGGACCACCTTGCACCGCGCAAGACACTGTACAGGTGGAGGGGGCACCCGGGAGGCCGAGACTGCAGGGTGACACAGAAGGGAGGCCTGGGGGGCCTGGAAGAGTGGGCGATGGTAGGAACCGAAAAGGGCGGGGGCCACGGGGTCAAGGAAGTAGGTGGATTTGAGGAGGAGGGAACGGGGAAGGGCCCGAGGAGTGGGCCTGCAACCTGAGACCCAAATGGAGCCTAAGAGGGCGGGGAAGTGGGTGGGTGAGGTCTGAGAGGGCGGGGCTCTGGGAAGACACTGCGCGGGGCAGCGATGCAGGAGAAACTTAGAGGCTGGTGGGTTTCAAGTGAGTGTTGGCCAAGGACAGAGGCGGAGCAAGGTGAAAGTTCTTGGATAATAGAGACCTTAGGTAGAAGCCTGGTGCAGGCGGGTCTGGCTTAGCGAACAGTTCAGTTTGGAGAAGGGTCAGACGTCCCGGGTACGGAGCGGTGCTGTTTGGAAGTATGTCCAGAGAGATCCTCTTCCGTGAAGGTGTTGGCTCACAGCAAGAGGCGCTCTAGGAAGTAGTGAAGGAATGTGGCATGGGAGAGAAAGGATTTAGAACTGGGTAAAATTACTTGGACACTACCATACAGGACCATGGAGCTGCTTTTTGACTATCCCCCGCGTTGTTGGGGAGCTCAACACCTTACAAAGCAGTTTTTTAGGCACAGGAAGTTGGAGACTTCATTTATCTATCCATGCATCAATCCAACACTAGTTAGATGCATCCTGTGCTAGGCTTGGGGTTACAAAGAGGGCTGAGACTAACCCTGTCCCCAGGTTATTCACATATTAAAGAGGGAGACAATGTGTAACCCAGCAATAACAGCAAAGTGTGTTAAAACTAGAATAGAGCTGTTATTTCCCCCCCCAAAAAAAATGTGTTTTTGTTTATTTTAGAGAGAGAGGAAGGGAGAGGGTGAGAGAGGAAAAAAAAATTGATGTGGGAAACATTGACTGGCTGCCTCCTACTGGGGATCGAGCCCGCAACCTGGGATTGTGCCCTCGTTGAGAATTGAACCCGCAACCTCTTGGTGCACAGGACAATGCTCAACCAACTGAGCCACACTGGCCAAGGCAAAACTAGAATAGAGTTGTACACAAAGGGAGACCAAGGTAGGCATTCTCCTTGAGAGTAAATAAATTACTCAGGGAGTAACCTTTTCGCCATGTGAAAGATGAGCAGTTCTCCAGAAAGGTGTGGGAGAAAGGCATGCCTGTTAGAGGCAACAGTTACGCAAACTTGTTGGCTGAAGCCGGCTTGGAGTATCTGGGAGAAGAGCAGGTAGGTAAACATAACAGTGGCAGCAGAGGGTGTTCTGTAGAAGTGGCTGGAGAAGCCAAGGGGATTGAACTTTCTCCATAGGCTATGGGGAGCCATGGAAGGGCTATAAGCAAGAAGAGCCTGCTCCCATTTGAGTGGGCAGAATGGCCAGAGTGGGTAAGCATTTAGAAGTCTGTTGCAGTGTCCAACTGAGGGACTTGAGGAGAGGGGGTGGGTTAGAAAGATGTAAGTGGTAAAGCTGTCAGGATTTGTGACTGAATGGGGGAGGTGAGGAAGAGGTCAAGGAAGACTCCTTCGGCCTGCTGCCATCTACTGGGGGAGAGAATTCAAGAAGCAGGATGAATTCGAGGAGGAGGGAGATCTCGTGAATTTGGTGTGAGGTGCCTGGGGGCAGGGTACTAAGGAGGTGTATTAAAGAACAGATGTGCCCTGGCCGGTTTGGTTCAGCGGTTAGAGCGTCGGCCTGCGGTCCTGAGAGACCCGGGTTCGGTTCCCGCTGGGGGCGCGTGCCTCGGTTGCAATTTGTCCCCGGCCCTGTTGGTTGTGCGGGTGGCAGCCACTCGGTGTGTTCCTTTCACGTCGATGTTTCTCTCTCTCTCTCTGTTCCTCTCTCTCCTCTCTCTCTCTCTGTTCCTCTCTCTCCTTCCCACTCTACCTGGACAAAAAATGGAAAAATGTCCTCGGGTGAGGATTAAAAAAAAAAAAAAAGAAGAACAGATGTGAGCCCTGGCCAGTTTGGCTCAGTGGTTGGAGCGTTGGCCTGCAGACCAGAGAGTCTCGGGTTTGGTTCCCGCTAGGGGCACATACCAATAAATAAATAAATAAAGTACAGATGTGAACCCGCTAGGGGCACATACCAATAAATAAATAAATAAATAAATAAAGTACAGATGTGAACCCAGAAGAAAAATTTGAGTTGAAGATAGAGATTTGAGACTCACTTCATTTTATTCCATAAGTTTTTTGGTTTTTTTTTGGTACGTGCCCCTAGTGGGAACCGAACCTGGGAATCTCTGGTCCACAGGCCGATGCTCCAACCTCTGAGCCAAACCAGCCAGGACAGTTTCGTTTTTTTTAAACACCTACTATGTGCCAGGCATTGATCTAGGCACCAGGAATTCAGTGGTAAATGAGACAAAGTCCTTGTATTCATAAAATTTACATTATAGTGTGTGTGTTGGGAGAGGGTAGCACACACATGTATTGCTGGGGCTAAGTAGTAAGGGAGTTAGAGAATACAGAAGGGGGTACTATTTCTTCTTATTATTATTAGGTATTACTTTAAATAGGGTGGTCAGGGATGGCCTCTAATAAGGCAGTATTTGAGAAGAGGCCTGAAGCAACTGAGCAAGCTGTGTGTTTGAGGGAAAAAAATTCCAGGCAGGTGCAAAGGCCCTGAGGCAGGTGTGTGCTTAGTGTGTTTATGGAACCTTGTACAGGCTAGTGTGGCTAGAGAGGGGTGAAGGAGGGAGCCATTGTAGGACATGAGGTCAGAAAGGTAAGGGCAGGAGACAATCATGCAGGGCTTTGTGGAATATTGTCAGGACTTGGCCCACGAGGAAGTCATGGAAAGTTTCTGCACAGCAGCATGATCTGGCTTAGGTTTTAATAGTCGAATGGGGACTAGACTGAAGGAGGAGTGAGTACGGAAGTTGGGAGACCAGTTAGGAGGCTGCTACAGTATTCAGGCAAGAGTAAGATGGTGGCTTGGCCCAAGGGGGAAGCAGTGGAAGTTGTGAGAGGTGGCTGGGTGAATACCAACTAGTAATTAGCTGGGGCTCTGGGAGTCAGTTGGGTGAGACTACAGAGAGAAAAGGGGTGAGAATAGATCCCTGGAAATGCTTAAGGCACTGGAAGAGGGAGAAGGAAATATCAAAAGAAGTAGAAATGGAAATGCATTTGTTGTCTTTCTAAGCAGTTGCTTGGTGTGGTGGGGGCAGAAGTCCTGGTGTATTGGGCAAAGAGTGAAAGGGGGGGGGGGGGCTCCCACAGGGCAAATTGTTCTGAGCTTAATCAGAGTTGGGGCAGAGGAGGGAGGGACAGGAAGGGGGAATTTCCTAGCGGGGCATAGATTTGTGTTAGAAAGCTGAGAAGTGTTTTAAAATACATTTTTATTGATTTTTTAGAGAGAGAGGAACGGAAAGAGAGACTGAAACATCCTTGTGAGAGAGAAACATTCTCTGCCTTCCGCCTGCCCCCAGCTGGGGATGGAGCCTGCAACCCCGGCATGTGCCCTGATGGGGCTCTCTCAGTCCATGGGCTGATGCTCAATCCACTGAGCCACGCAGGCCAGGAAACAGCTGAGAAGTTTTTATGTTGAGAAGGAGGCAGGAGAGTGAATGGAGGAAAGACGAGCAGGGAGTAGGCTGGGGACACTGGCCCTGAGTGGGTCAGAGAGGAGCGGGAGCATGTCCTCTCCCGCGGGAAGTGAGAAAGAAGGGACTGAGCTGGATAGTGCTCCTGAAGACCTCCAGGAGAGGTCCTGGAGCCTGGCCTGGCTTCCCTGAGAAACGGGCAGGTGGCCGTGCTGTGGGCTCAGTAGGCAGACTGAGCAGGAATTGGGGGCCCATCAGAGGCACTTGCAATGGAGGAAAATTCAACTTGCAGAACTCATCTGGAATCTACAGTCCAGATATCTAGGAATAAGCTCTGGGAACTTTGGCATACATGAACTGTTTGTGACCTTTAAAAAAATAAAATTGCCCTGGCCGGTTTGGCTCAGTGGTTAGAGCGTCAGCCCACGGACCAGTGAGTCGAGTCGCAGGTTCAATTCTGGTCAAAGGCACGTACTTCGGTTGTGGTTCGTCCCGGGCCCAGGTCAGGGTCGTGCGCAAGGCAACCAGTTGATGATTCTTTCTCTCTCCCTCTCTATCTGAAGAGAAACAGAAAAATATCCTCAGGTGAGGAGGATTAAAAAATAAATAAATAAAGTTGAATTTGCATTACTTATAGGGGTGGGGTGTACCCCAGACACTTAGAGCTTCGAAGGGGAGAGGTGTGGCTCCCAGCAGTGTTCCCTGGGCCTCACCCCGTGGGAGGGGGTGGTGGCAGGAAGCCTGGGTGTGAGAGGGAACTGGGAGCCAGGGTGATACGGACGTTGTTGGCAGCCTGAACTGCATGGAGTGGAGCCTCTTGCCTCCTGCCACGGAGGAGATGATGGTGCAGACGTCTGTGGTGAAGGGCCGCTTCATGGGGGACCCCTCACACGAGTATGAACACACCGAGCTGCAGAAGGTGAACGAGGGTGATAAGGTCTTCGAAGAAGAAGTAGTGGTGAGTGAATATGAGTGAGGAGGAGGGCCTGAAGGGAGAGCGCCTGGGTCATCCCAAACCCCTCCGGATAGGAATTACGGCGAGGACGACCTAACACGCTACTGAGCAACAGCGTGGGGAGTGGACAAGCAGCCTCACGGGCAGGGGCAGGGGAGAAGGGGTCTGTGCTGAGTTCTGGGGTAGGCATGGGCACAGGCTCTTATATTTTTATACCAAGTTTTGTTTTCCTAGATAATACATCCACATGGTTCAAAATTCAAAGGGACAAAAAGGAATATAGTAAAGCGCCCTCCCATCCCTGTCCTGCGGTCACCCAGGTCCTTTTTCTGGGGGACGGTAATGTAACCACTTTTGCATGTGTGTGTCCAAATCTTGCTACTCAAAGTGCAGCCTGGATCAGACGCATCACTGTGTCCTGGGAGTTAGAAACGGAGAATGAGGGGTGGGCTTCAAGGTGTGCACCGGAGCGCATTCCCAGGGGACTCGAACTCACGGTTAAGGATGAGAAGCTCTGTTTCCAGAGACAGCAGATACCTTACCTCTACATACTCTTTTTATCTTCAAAACAGAACAAAACAAATGGCAGCATGTTAGGCACACAGTTCCGCACCTGGCATTTTTTTACCTAACAATACATTTTGGAGATCTTTCTATATCGGTGCCTTACAGAGCCTTCCCCTCTTTTTACCAGTGTGACTGCAACATATTTTAACCAGTGTCTTTTTCATGGAAATGAAGGCTTCGGAGCTTTAGCTCTGACAAGCAGTGCCAACAATGAGTGACCTTGTACATGCATCGTGTCCAGTGTACGCAGTGCCTCTGAATGATCAACTCCTAGAAATGGAAAATTCAGTCAAGAGGAGCTGGCCTGCCCTGGCCGGTTTGGCTCAGCGGTTAGAGTGTCGGCCTGCGGTCTGGAGAGACCCGGGTTCGGTTCCCACTAAGGGCACGTACCTCGGTTGCAGTTTGTCCCCGGCCCTGGTTGGTCGTGCGGGTGGCAGCCACTCGATGTGTTCCTTTCACATCGATGTTTCTCTCTCTCTCTCTGTTCCTTTCTCTCCCTCCCACTCTACCTGAACAAAAAATGGAAAAATGTCCTTGGGTGAGGATAAAAAAAAAAAAAAATGTCCTCAGGTAAGGATATATATATATATATATATATATATATATGCATAGAGAAAAGGATAAAAGGAAGTATACCGATATGTTATCAGGGATTATCTTTAGAAGGTAAGATTATGAATGGTTTTAGTTCTCTTAGGTATTTTATAAAATACTTGATTACCCAAACAGTTTGCAGTGAGCATAACTGCTTTTATATTTTCAAAAGGCAAAATAAGCAACATTTACATCTCATGATTGGATGGTATGTTTCTGGAAGGGTGCATAGAAAACCATTAACTGTGGTTGCCCCCAGTGAGGGCAGTTGGGGAACAAGGGATGGGATGTGAGACACAGCATTTTTTCTTAGTTTTAAATATTGCACCACCAGTATGTATTACCAGTTTTAAAAAGAAAGAAAACCTTGATAGGAGGAAAGGGAGGGGCCCGCCCAGTGTGCTTTTCCATGGGCCTGGCATCTAACTGTGGTGATCGGTCAGATGGTGAGGCAGAGGGCACAGGGGTGAGTGGGCACAGCGCCCTGGCAGGAGGCTTATCTCCTGTCTCCTTAGGTCCGGATCAAGGAGGAGACCCGCTTGGTGTCCATCATTGACCAGATCGACAGGGCTGTGGCTATTCTCCCCCGGGGTGCCCTCTTTAAGACTCCTTTTGGACCCACCCACGTCAATCGGACCTTTGAAGGTGAGTTCCTTGGGGCCCCTCTCGTGGGCAGGAGGGCATTCTCTTCCCAAGCACAGTCAGGCACGTCCAGGAGTCTGGGTGAGACGGACTACTTCCTCAGAGAAGGAACAGCTGTGACCACATCAGTTGGGAGGATGTGGCCAATGACCTGGCGTCAGTGGTTGGCATGGTTACCCAGTCGCTGGAGCCTATTTTCTGCCTGAGGGTCGGGGGAGCACTTGGCCACGTGAGTCTCAGGTCTTTCTGTGGGTCTGGCCTCCCTGCCTTTTCCTACCTTCCTCCTCCTTGGTTTCTCTTCACTGCAGGATCTGGGCCAAATTTGGCTGAGGGAACACTATTCCCTCTTCTCCCTTCAGTTCTGTCAGTAGTTGACCGAGTCATCTGCAAGCCCCTCCGTGGGGTCCCCATGCACAGAGATAGTGAGCTGTGAGGTTCTCTTCCCTCCTGCTACCTCTTTTCAGGACTGACCTTGTCTGAAGCCAAGAAGCTCAGTTCCTACTTCCACTTCAGGGAGCCTGTCGAGCTGAAGAACAAGACTTTGCTTGAGAAGGCTGACCTGGACCCCTCCCTGGACTTCATGGACTCCTTAGAGCATGACATCCCCAAAGGTAACAGCCTATTACTTCGAAGACGCTGGGTCTGCCCCCAGGCCAGAGCAGGAGGCCATGCACCTGCCATTCTCCTCTGAGAGTGGAACCAAAGCCTGGGTGGGAAATGCTGATTGAGTGTGGGTCCTGGAGTGTGGGGCTTCCCCAGGGCCCAATCCAAGTTCCAGTTCATAGTAAACAGTTGATAAATGTTTGTGGACAAAAGGAAGGACTGTCTTCCATATGCTTTCAGAGATAGGAAATCTCGCATCGCAGTTTCTCTTTTGATTTTCATTTCAATCTTGGATAGAGGCATACATCCATCTCTGTTACTTTGGTGTTAGATCCAGTGCTTGGCACATAGTTGGTGCTCAATAAGTGGGTGCTCAAGAGGTCACTGGTTCAGTTCCTGGTCAGGGCACATGCCCGGGTTGTGGGCCAAATCCCTGGTGGGGGGCATGCAGGCGATGGCCAATCGATGTTCCCTCTCATCGATGTTTCTATCTCTCCCTCTCCCTTCCTCTCTCTCTAAAATCAATAAAGAAAAAAATAATAGCCTTGGCCGGTTTGGCTCAGTGGTTAGAGCGTCGGCCTGCGGTCCAGAGAGACCCAGGTTTGGTTCCCACTAAGGGCACGTACCTCAGTTGCAATTTGTCCCTGGCCCTGGTTGGGTCATGTGGGTGGCAGCCACTCGATGTGTCCCTTTCGCATCAATGTCTCTCTCTCTCTCTCTCCCTCTCTCTCCCTCTCTCTCTCTCTCTCTCCCTCTCTCTCCTTCCCACTCTATCTGAACAAAAAATGGAAAAAATGTCCTCGGATGAGGATTAAAAAAAAGAAAAAAAAAATAGCCCTGGCCAGTTTGGTGCAGCGGTTAGATCATCAGCCTGTGGACCAGAGTCCCGGGTTCGGTTCCCGCTAAGGGCAAGTACATCAGTTGCAGTTTGATCCCGGCCCCAGTTGGGGTCATGTGGGTGGCAACCACTCGATGTGTCTCTCTCACATCGATGTTTCTCTCTCTCTCTCTTCCTCCCTTCTCTCCTGCTCTATCTGGAGATAAATGCAAAAATATCCTTGGGTGAGGATAAAAAGAAAAAAATAAGTGGGTGCTGATTGACTGAATAGCAAAGCACCTGCTAAGGATATGAGTTCTGTGTATTTGCTTCCTGTTATGTGTGAGGGACTTCTAAATCTTAAAAAAAAAAAAAATTTTCTTTATTGATTTTAGAGAGAGAGGAAGGGTGAGGGAGTGAGAGATAGAAACATCGATGAGAGAGAACATCGATTGGCCACCTCCTGCATGCCCACCACTAGGGATCGGGCCCACAACCTGGGCATATGCCCTGACTGGGAATCGAACCGGCGACCTCTTGGTGCATGGGTCGACGCTCAACCACTGAGCCACACCAGCCAGGCTTACAGCTTCATACAGCTTCAGAGTCCTTCCTATGCTTCAGGACACACCTGGCCCAGGCAGGCACCTTTGGGTGGTGGGGTCAGAGACCCCATTTCCACCTCCATTTTATAGACAAAGAAACAGGCTCAGAGAGTTAAACTGAAGGCCACAGTGAGTGTTAGAAATTAGACTCCAGGACTCCAGCAGTAACTGTGGTGTGAAGTAGATGGTGTTTCCTTTTTTGTTAATCTTCATCCTGGGGATATTTTTCCCATGATTTTTCTTTTTTTTATCCTCACCCAAGGACATTTTTCCATCTTTTTGTTCAAATAGAGGGGAGGGAGAGAGAGGAAGAGAGAGAGAGAGAGAGAGAGAGAGAGAGAGAGAGAGAGAGAGAGAGAGAGAAACATCGATGTGAAAGGGACACATCGAGTGGCTGCCACTTTCATGACCAACCAGGGCTGGGGACAAACTGCAACCGAGGTACATGCCCTTAGCGGGAACCGAACCCGGGTCCCTCTGGACCGCAGAACGACAGACACTCTAACCGCTGAGCCAAACCGGCCAGGGCTCCCATTGATTTTTAGAGAGAGTGGAAGGGAGGGAGGGAGAGGGAGAGAAAGAGAAAGAGAAAGAGAGAGAGAGAGAAACATTAATGTGAGAGAGACACATTGGTTGCCTTTCGCACCCGCCCCCACCTGGATCTGGGGATTGAACCTACAACCCAGGTATGTATCCTTGACTGGGAATCAAACTCATGACCCTGCAGTGTGCTGGATGATGCTCTAACCACTCACCCAAGGATATGTTTTATTGATGTTAGAGAGAGAGAGAGAAGAAACATCAAGCAGTTGCCTCTGGTACGAACCCCAATCAGGGACCAAACCTGCAACCTGGGCATGTGCCCTGACTGGGAATTGAACCTGCAACCTGTTGGTGCTTAGGATGACATTCAACCAACTGAGCTACCCCATTGGGTTGTTACGAGAATTAAAGAGTTAACCCATACATAAAATACTTCTAGCAGTGCCTAACACATAAAAAGAACTCATACAAAAATTAACAATTGTTATGGATATATTTTTAGTGGCAAATAGTCCTTAGAGGTGGGTTGGGCAGGCCAGAAGGGCCTAGCGGGCCAAGGGTAGGAGGCCTGGATCAAGGCAGTAGGAGCTTCTGGTGGCTGGTGAACGGGTCTGTGATATAAGGTAGGTACATGGGTGGGTGGAGAAGGGGCGGAGAACTGGAAGCACTCAGGGCCACTGCAGTGCCCCAGGGCCAGGCAGTGGGTCTCAAGTCGGGAAGGGCTGCCAGCAAGGAATGGCTACTCTGGCCTTGGCCACGTGGGGGTGCTCGAGGCAAACCTCCCTGAGTTATGGAAAGGGATTCCCGGACCTGTCTGGGCGATACAGGTTTATAGGGGCTGGGGCCTTTCTCACCTGAGACACACTTTCCAGACTCCAGTTCTCTCTTCCAGCTCTGCTCCCAGCTGCACATCCCTGGGGCATTGATAAAGAGGCCAGGAGAGTTGTGATGGTGGGACCCAGCGAGGGGTGGGGGGAGAAAGGTACTCTTATACACTGAATCTGGGGGCAGCAGCCCCACCTCCGGATTCAAGCTGAGTCTGGAAGGCCCTGCTCGGTGCTGACTTCTCAGCCTGCTCACGTGCAGCTGGATGCTCCAGGGCCAGGGGATGAGGCCCTGTCCTACAGCGCTGGGTGGTTAGGGGCTAACACAGAGCACCTTCCTACCCTTGGAGCCTCATTCTCTGTGTGACAGGAGGGGCAAGGAGGGTGCCAGGGCCTTTGCAGTCAATACCAAAGCTGGATACATGGCCGGTGGCGTCCAACAGTCTTCCTACGAGAATCCCATCAGTCCTGTCTGCCCTGCCCTGGGGTAAAGGGGACACGGGAGGCAGCTGTCTCTCCCTGCAGCAGGGGGTATAAGACATGGAGCATCGAGGGTCTTCCTAAAGGATGCTGGGGCTGCCCTGATATGTCTAGTCAGCAAGTGAATGTATCAGGCCTCTGAGAGACAGAGGATCTGGGCCTGGGAAGTGGGGGCCCTCCCTTTCTCCCAGAGCCGCCACCAGAAAGCCTCCAGGAGGTCAGGCCCGGTCTTGATTGCTTGGTGGGCGCATGGCGTAGGGATGGAAGTGTGTTCAGGGGGGCAGACACCGATTCAGCTCTCAGACTCCCTTCCTTACCTGCCAGTTAAAGAACAGAAGGAGCTGCTGGGGGCTTCTCTGCCAGGTAGACGGCAGCCAGAATGGACTGGGCTGCTAAGGGGTCGCAATCCCAAGGAAGAGTTCCCTGGGACACCAACACTGGCTGGCTGGCTGGAATTTGGTGGGATGGAATTTTCTGCCCAGGTAAGATAATTATTTCCTTTCTGGGTCTGAGGCAGTTGTTCAGGGGACTTCGTTGAGCAGGTGTAGCACAGGCTGGCCCTGTGCTGGGACTCCTGCTCTGTGCCCATGGAGGTAGGTCAGATCAGCACCTTGTCCCTGGGCCAGCCTGGGGCCACTATGCCCTCCTAAGTTGTTCTGTTGTGCCCTGGGGCCTGCAGCATTTTGTGGGAGTGAGTAGCTTCGGGGCAGAACCATGCTCCCGGTGGATGAAGGGAAGAGTTCTCTGAGCTTGGGCTGCAGCCAGGTGAGACAGATGGAGCCAGGTCAGGAGGCCAGATTTCTGGATCGTACTCTGCCACTCCATGCTCCTTAACCTTTCACTTCATTAGCAAATAGCCACCGAGCAGCAATTAAGTGCCAAGCACTGGGGATGTAATTGTGGAGAAGACAGGCACTGTCCTGGCCTTGCAGAGGTTTGGGAAGATCGCACGGAACAGGATGAGAAGGGGGAATGTGAAATAGAAGGTGCCCTGCACATGAAGTCCTCATGTTCTGCGAAGCAGAGAGGGGCAGGCAGAGCAGCGCGGGAAGCAGAGCAGGAAGGTGGGGGCAGGGCTGCTCTCCCCCACTCCGACTGGAGCTGACACAGCTCAGGAACTGTGGGGAGCCGCCAGGCCAGGGCTGCAGAGGCTCCGGCACAAGTGAGCTCTTAGCAGCAATGCCCAGTTCAGGCAGCAGAGGGCAGCAAGGGGCCTGTCCGCCTGGAAAGCAGCCTTTAAAATGTGGTGGTGGGCCCTGGCCGGTTGGGCTCAGTGGTTAGTGTGTCAGTCTGGCCAAAGGGTTGAGGTGTGTCCCATCAAGGGCAGGAACCCAGGTTGCAGGTTTGTCTCCAGCCTTGGTTGGCGTTGTGCAGGAGGCAATCAATTGATGTCTCTCTCACACGGATGTTTTTGCCTTCTCTCTCCTTCCTTCCCACTCTATACAAAAAAAAAAAAAAAAAGGAAAAATATCTTTAGGTGAAGATGAACAAAAATAAAAAATAAATAAAATGTGGTGGTGGTTGGGGAGGGGTTGGGTGACGAGGAGACAGGAACATTGGAGAGTGGTGGCGAACATGGTTCCCTGGATCAGCATTCTCTTGGGGGTGTACACAGGTGGCTCCTCCCACCCGGTCCCTTGGAAGCCTGGCTGATAAATGCCCTGCCTTCTGGACCAGGGTGCTGACTTTACCAATCAGACAGGGCACTCTTCTGCCTCAGTATGCCCCCACCCACCCCCCCCCAACCACTAGGGGGTTTGGCCCTAGTGTGGAGGGAGTGGCCACTCTGAGGAGCCCATGCCCATTTCTGTGTGTGACAAATTGTGTGGTGCTGGTCTAGGAGGGTTTAAGCCATCTGCTGCGCCTGGACAGCCCTGGTCCCCAGCCTGGCCCACTGCCCCATCAAACTGAATCTCAGAGCTGTGCTGTCTTTCTTCCCGGAGGCAGGAGTGTAATTAAGAGAAGCACACCTGCCCGGGTAGTGTGGCTCCGCAGCTGAGCATCGACCCATGCACCTAGGTCTCCGGTTTGGTTCCTGGTCAGGACACATGCCTGGGTTGTGGGCCCGATCCCCAGTGGGAGGACGTGCAGGAGGTGGCCAATTGTTTCAAACATAGAAACAATCAATGTTTCTATGTCTCTTTTCCTTCCTCTCTCTCTAAAATCAATTTAAAAATTTTTTTGAAAAAAGAGAAGCATACCCTAGCCTGAGGTTTCCGCACTAACAAGGTGGGTGAAACCCTGGGGCTCTGGACACCCAGGACTTCCTGAGGATTGCAATAGGCCCTTTTCCTGATTACCGGCTGTTCCCCACCACAGCCTCGGAAAACAGCTTGCAGAAGAGAGTGGGTGCTAGGGGCAGGTTTGGGGAGACTCGGCTGTGAACTGGAACATGGGAGGCTGCTTCCCCTGGAAGCCTAGAGGTAGAGGCAGCAGTAAGTAGCTAGCGGCGCGCAGCCTCCAGCAGTTGCAATAAGAAAAGTGGGTGAAGGTGACAGCAAGCGCCTGGCTTCCCAGGTAGACACTACGTGACTCCTGGCACGTTGAGAGTCTGTGTGTTTCCTGGGTAACCAGCTGAGCCTGGAACAAGGAGAGGAGGACAAGAGTGTGACAGGAATGCAAGGGAGGGGGGAGGGAGGCGGTGTTGTTGGCTGCCTGGCCTCTCACATGCCGCTTCCGCCCTCGGCCAGCACCCTTTGGCCTGCTTGGCGCTGCTGTCCCCGTGCCCCCGTGGGGTCATTGTATTTCTCTAGCATCCCTATCAGTTTCTCCTTGCTCCCTGGAGGTGGGAGCTCCTGCTAATAAGTCTGGACTCCCTCATCCGCTAAAGGAAAGAAGTGGCCAAATCCTAGGTGCACAGGCTGGTGTGAGTCGGGACCCAGCCCTTGCCTAGGGTGTGCCAAGATGCTGGCCTAAAAAAAGATGCTAGCAATAGTGACCTGATGCGAGTGGTCCAGGTTGGGGGACTCCAGGACCCTGTTTCTCCAGAGCAGCAATTGGCCCAGGCAGGCTGCAAGCTGCTCTTTTATAGTTCAAGGGGGCTGTGTGGCTGTGAGCTCCAAGGGCAGGGAGGGACTGTCCCAAAGGATGCTCTAGGCACTGGTGGGTGGAGGGTGGGGACTCAGGGATGCTAGGGGATGTACCTTCCTGGGGTCTGTGCTCCTAGCCAAAGGCTGAATGTGGCACACTAGGAATATTTGTTCTGTCATATGACCACTACCCCCAGGCATGTTTCTGAAATGAGTGCCTAGGAAAGCAACAGGCTGGGGCCTTAGGCCTCTGAGGGCAGGCCTGGGAGGTGGAGAACTCAGGTGCCCAGAGAGGAAAATCGTAGGAACCAGGGGAATTACTCCCCTGACCAGGAAAACACTCCCCCAGCCAGAGCTCTGGTAACCCCGGACACTCTTCTTGATGCTGTCTGGCCAGCACTGTGGGCAGAGGGGAGAGGAATCGAGTCCGCACCGTAGCTTCATCTCACACACGGTGGTAGCACTAGATGCAGGCTGCTGCACAGCGCTGTGGGCTCCCGGCCAGCCTCTCCGGAGCAGGCCAGGGCCAGCTGACCTACATGCACCGGAAAGCTCTGGCTTTGATTTGGGCAGGTGACAGCACCCTCAGAAGGGTTGAGAAGCTGTCAGTGCCGGGGTTCCTGGTGGTCAGGTCTCTTGGATGCAGGGTGGCCCCTGGCGGGTGGGGACTGAGCTGGGAGGCTGCAGGGTGTGGAGTGACCAGGGTGGGCCATGGTTGGAGAAGGCCTGTGGGAAGCTGGGGCAGCAGGAGCCAAGCAGCCGGGCTGAGCTGGCAACTGATGAAGGCCTCAGCACTGCTCCGAGTGCATCACTGGCTGGTCCAACACCAAAACCTTCAAAGCATTTGCCTTTCTGGCAGGGCCTGGAACAGAGCTGTGGCTGGACCCGGGAGGGGCCTCAGTGCGCAGGGGAATACAAGCTCCAGATCTGTATCCAGAGGCGACTTTCCCAGGCTCCTTCCTCCCACACAGCAGCTCCCTCCCTCGGTTCTGGACATGGATCAGGTCCCTCCCGCCAAGTCCTCATGGCCGCACAACTCAGCCCTGGGCTGGGCTGCTCCTGTCTGGGGAGCAAAAACCAGGGCAGGACCCAGGATAGACAAAGGCTCATTAGCTATGGCCCAAGTCCCCTCCAGACAAGGATGACTCCCGGTCCACCAGCAGCCAGAATGGGCTATTGAGCCAGAGGCCCGAAACGCCAAACTTTTATGTGAGCCCCAGATCAGGTCTAATCTGTCTTGGAGCAGAGGCTTCTGGGACTGGGGAAGAGACAGCAAAGTAGCAAGTGGGGGCAAACTGTACTAGGGCTGAAGGTCACTGGTGACTACCCCCAGCAGAGGGTGAAAGGGAGCCTGGAGAGTCTCCCCAAGCTGGTCCCAATTCCCCTCTGCCTATGGATTCAGCTTCCTCCTCCACGCAACCTTTAACTAGACTTGCTGACAGGAACAAAATGCACTCCTCGGTGTTTCACCTCCTTTCATTTCCTTTGCCCTCCCCCTGGAAGAGGTTTTAATGAACAGTGAAATGGCTAAAAGGCTATCAGGAGGAGTAAAGTGCCAGGATAATTAAACTGTCTTCCCTTTCCCAGGGCCCTGAGCACCTGGGCCTGGCTGCCCAAGGAGCCGGGGCCTCTGCGCACCAGGCAGAGCTCGGGCTCCACAGCACCCAGGCCTCACTTCCTCCCCAGGGTCCTGGAGCATCCAGATGGAGAGAGGCAACGCCCTGGTGGTGCTGCGCAGCCTGCTCTGGCCAGGCCTCACCTTCTACCACGCTCCCTACACCAAGAACTGTGGCTACATCTACGTGGGCACTGGTGAGAAGAACATAGACTTGCCCTTCATGCTGTAGGAGGGCCAGCCCAGGGACTTTTCATGTAGAGCATCAACATTATTTTCATACATTTCAGTGAATTTGGTCTGTTTTCTGTCTTGCTGCTTCCCCTCATCTCCACCTCCATCTGGTGTCCAGGCTCTGAGCGGCCCGATGAGCAGGAGACCCAGCTCTAAAACAAGTGGCCGAGGATCGGAATGTGCTAACGAGAGAATGGCGGGTGGAAATGACTGTGGGCGGTGACGGCCAGAAGCCCTTTGAGGAAGGCGGCTCTTGGATTCGTGTTTGAGTTGTACATGGGCCAGGCAAGCCAACTCGCCTCCTTGCAGCCCCCAGGCCCACGACTAACTAACAGCTGTCAAAATAGAGGATGGGAACCTGTTTGGCCCATGAACTCCCTTCGGTTGTGTGCATGTAGCCCATCATCATGAGATTAGTGATGCAACGCTCAGTAACTGGCCGGAAATAGGCCCAAGCCCCCCAAACTTCCCAAGCAGTGAGCACACACCCAGGGTAAACATGAGCCTGGTTTATGACATTCCTTTGAGCAGAACTCCTGTCCTCTAGCACAGAGCATGGCCCCAACCAGTCATGAGACCCCCACAGCTGCCAGGAACCCAAAAGCCTTGCCCGCCCCCAGCTCCCAGCACGGCTGCTAGCAGGCCAAGGGCATGAAAGGTGGTCCACAGCCACCAGTGCCACACATGTTGGAGGAGCCGGGCCACCCTGATAGGAAGGGGTGGGAGAGCAGAAGGAGCTCCGGCCAGGCCCTCAGGAAGCCCGCTCAGTCAATGATACAGCACCAGAGGCCTTCTTGAGTAGCAGACGTTGTCCTTCAGGAGGGGCGAGCCCACGGCCATGCGCACCTTATTCCAGCGGTGGCCTTTATTGTAGATGGGCTTGACGGAGCGGGGGGACCAGCGGGTCAGATACCTGTGGAGGGAGGACCAGGGCGTGGCTGAGGGCTGGGGCCATGCTGGAGCTGGGAGAGTGGGCACTACCTCCTCAGGCCAAAGCTGTGAAACCCTTTCTCCAGTTTTCTTCCCTTGAGGAGCAGGGGCTTTTCCTGGGAGCAACCACTGAGTGTGCTGTAAACAGACGGGCTGGGCTGGGCTCTTGTTGCCGTAAGCGTGTGTGGCCAGGGTCAGGCAGCCCAGGGCCACATGCTCCCTTGATCTTTATGAGTTGTCAATGTTTATGTGTATTTGCTGGGGGAGGAGGCAGAGGAAGAGGCTTCTGGAGAGCAGATCATTCCTCTCTGGTCTCAGCCACGGGGAGAGGAGAGGCTGATGTAAGGGCCTGGAAGAACCCGTCCCTCTTCCCCACTTGGCTCACTCTGCCACCCAGTCTTCAGGGAGCTCCCCTGGGCAGCCATAACTGCTGTAGGACCCCTGCCCCTCACTCAACCCATGATGGGAGCCAAGGGTGAGGGCCCATGGGGGGTAAGCAGGAGGGGGTGGGAAAAGATGGCTGACGCCCACAGTCCTTTGGCCTCCTTTGGGGATGGCCAGGGCGCTGATAGTTCCCGGAAAAGTGGCTCATGCCGGCTGGGATTGGGGTTTACTCCATTCAGAATGAAACTTGGATCCTGTCCAGAGAGGCCCACCCTTATCCTGAAAGCTCAGCTATGGCAAAGGCCAGGATCCTCCTCTGCCTCCACTCTAGGCTGCGACTCAACCCAGCCACCGCTAAAAACCCTCAACTGAGACATTTTTAATAAAATAAATACCTTTAGATAAAAATTTTTAGATAAAAGTGAAAAAATGATTGCTGATTTATACATTTCGACTGAGCTCCCCTGGACCTTGGCCTTCTGCGCTGAGCCCCGCGTAAAGGAAGTAAAGCTGGGGGAGGTGCTGGCCTGCAGTCTGAGTGTGAGGTGGGCAGGCGGGGAGGCCTGAGTCTCCTGTCCATGTCAGTGCCAACAAGGAGACTTCTGAGGACTGGACTGGCCCTAGGGGCTGCTCTTTCCATGGTTGGTGGTGCTGGGACGGCAGGAGAGTCAAGGGTAAGGAAAGGAAGACCTGGCAGGCCCCTGGGCTGACATCTCCCAGCCTCCAGAGGCGGTGGGTAAAGAGATGGGGTGTGGGAGCTGGTTACCCAAAAGGAGTGCTCATTGGAATTTCAGGACCCCAGAAGATCCCCCAAGCCGACCAGATTCTCCAGAACCGTTGCCCTAAAACAGTTCTTCCCCCCTGCCCTGGAGAGCCGAGGAAGCTGGGCTTCAGCTAGCCCTGGGCCTGGAGCCTGTGCCAAATGAAGCAGCCAGCTGGTGGGGAAGGGGTTCCTGGGTGGCCTCCAGTCAGCCTTTTGGGAAGATTCCAGCTCTGGGAAGAACCAAGGCTCCTTCTTACCTCTCCTGAAGGGGCAGGGGGAGGAGGAAGTGTGGCTCCTCTGGGGCCCGAAGCCCTAGGGCCTCTGGATAGAATTATAAAGTCCCTTGGAGGGAATCAACCTCCATCATGGCCAGGACTCCCCTCCCCCGCCCCAGAGTGGCCTTTTGCAACCCAAGAGCCCCCACACATCATCAATCCCGTGTCACGTTAAAGGACACCGGATATATGGGAGGGAGCCTGGCCTCACTTCAAAGGCCTGAGGGCAGGATGGATTGTGTCCTTAGGCCTGCTGCTGTCTCTTAACAAGTAGGGGGGTGGGGGTATGCTCAACCCCCAAATGGTCCACAGTACATTTGGGAAAGACCGGAAGAAGTTACTAGGTCCTGATCCCCCAGGGCTGCTGGCAGATGGCCCAACTGAGCAACATGGAAAGGGCAGGTGGAGATGGGCATCAGTGAAGATCCAGCTTTGGCCCTGCACCCCAAGCCCAGCAATCTGTGGCTGGTATCTGCCTGGACTCCGACCCTCGTGCCCGGGTTCTGTTAAGGATCAGACTAGGAGGTTGCTAAGGGTGGGATAAGTCTTGCTTTGTTTCAACCATCTTTGGTCCCGCACAGAGAGCAGTTCCAGTGGCAGCTGGACAGGCTGAAAGAGGCAGGAACCGTCGACAGGGGAGAACAAGAATAAATACCAAAATCGATTTATAAACCTGGCTCTATTCTCAAAAAGGGAGTGTTTTAGATCTAGGAGTATGTGTGTGTGGCAATGTCAGAGATGGGGGAGGGAGAGGACATACAATAGGATGCCTGTTTGAGTTGTGAGACAGGTCTGCTCCTACACCAGAGGGTGCCACCCTGCTTAGGCTGAAAGGCACATTGATTGATTCCAGGATCCAGGGGCCTTCCTCTCCTCTAAAGCCTCGGGACCTCCTGGGTCACCATGTGCAGCTGTGCAGGTTAAGTACACAACGCTAGGGAGCACCATTCACAATCTAGTCTATGTGGACACTGCCTTGAAGTCTTGCAGTGTACGACCTGCACAGCTATATACAGAGGCCCCACCCGAGAGAGTCCACCCATTTTTAAAGCCTCATTTTGCCCCTTAATAACCTCAGGGCTGGGATAGTAAAAGTTTGAAGTGTTCTGACATTCCCATAGCAACCTAGTATGATGTCATAAACAGGGATTAGCACATTCTAATGCCCAACCAGCAGACCTTCTTATCCTCCTTGCGCCTGTGCTAAGTGCCCCACTGGGGAGGGAAGAGGAAAGAGGCTGAGGTCAGCAGGGGAGGGTGACAGAAGCGTACGCGCCATCAACTGCAGCTGTGTGGCACTGATGGGGGTGGGTGCTCAAGCTGGATGGGACGGAACAGACAGCCAAAGAACACTCTAGCTTTCCTGGGCTGTGGGATGAGATCCAAGAAATGGCTTCCCCGGCAGAATACAGTGAGAACGGGGGCCTGCAGAACGCTCAGGGTGTTGACACCCAGGCGTGCTTACCGGTTGAGTTGGAGTTTGCCTTTCGGAACAAATCCTTCAGGGAGCGGAGGCCTATGATTTGGCAACAGACCTGAGTGGAGGGAAGAGCATATAAGGAGACGTCTCTGCAGCTCCTCTACAGCTCGTGGGTGCCACAGAGAAAGCCCAAGGGGGTGGAAGGATGACACTGGGGGGATTACAGTGAAGACTCTGGATGTCCATTTCTCTCCCAGGAGGGGCTACAACATGGGGCAGTGGCAGGGGGACGGGGGAGAACGGCATCTACAGCCTTCTGCCCCTTTTAACCCTGGAGGGGAATCCTACCTGCGCGGTGGGCCATCTTCACACACTCCTCAATCTTGCGGTGCTCTTCCCGGCACAGCCCTGTGATCCTTCGGGGCAGCATGCCTCCGTGAGGCCGGATGAACTGACTGAGCAGCAGAACATCCTAGTGGAAATGGAAAACAGCAGAGGAGGGTCAGCTGGGTGGACGTTTGGTGCTGGGAAGTCAGGCCACACGAACGACAGGGGAGGCCGTCAATCCTGGCACTCTAAGAGGTTGAAATCTCTGCTGGGAACTGACCTGAGCTCACTCTCCACACAGAGCTTTGCACACTGGTCAGCTACCTTCACCCTAACAAAAGTTAAATCCCAACTCAGTAAGGATTTCTGACCCCACTGCCAATGCCAAGAGCTTTTAGCTCTGTGAGATAATCTTTCGATAGACTGGGTTGGAAAACAGAATCTCTTCAAGAAGTGTTAACAATCTTCCATGCACCTGCAGTATCTTTCCTGGTGACAAAAGGTCTGTTATTCTAGGATGAGGAGAGGGTATGTCATATGTTTCTACTCGAGGAAAAATCTATACCATTGCCACTCCCAAAGCCTATAGGCTGGAATACATGTGGACAGTCCCTCCACCTTCCGCCACTCCCTCTGCGTGCTAAGCAGGATACAAGCCGAGGAAGAGACCACGGCTGTGAAGTTAAATCTTACATCTTCTAAGCCCCTGTGACCAGATGTGAATGGATTCTAGGCTTCCTCTGGACCATCAGACTGCTTTGGAAGAGTTAAGGAAACAAGGACAAACAGAGCCAGAATCAAGACGAGACCATTTCTCCCAACTCTCACAGGATGGCCGAGATGGTTAAATAAAAGCTAACCCCACTACTGAGGGGCCTGGCACGCCAGTCTTAGCAGTCATGTCCACAGACTGACTTGCTGCCCTGGCAGGCGCCTCGCTGTATAACCACAGATTTGTTTTAATCACTGGACAGCTCCTAAGGGACCCAGACCCCCCAATTCCCACCCCTGTAATCTTCAGAATCTGATGAAAAGAATTTGGATTGGATTATCCAGGGCTAATAAACTGGGCTCGCAGCCCCAGCCTTCCCCACTGCAGGCTGCCAAGGAAGCTGACAGATTTGTGCAGCTCAGGCTAACGGTGTCCTGAGTAGAAAAGGGTAAAGGAAAACAACTTTAGCCTTTACCTCGGAGGGGATTGGATTTCTTCTGCTGGATAAACAGAGCCAAGTCTATTTCCTGGAAACGGCTGGTGGGAAGAGTGCCCCATGTTGGTCAGGCAGGTTCACCTCCCCATCTTCAGCTGGGATTCCAAGTATGGCCACAACCTCAATAACTTCCATGTAACGAAGCTGAGTACTGCCCTGGGGCCTGCAAGCTTCCTATTACTCCAGGCGACCATCAGCAGAAAGGCCCAGCGCAGAGTGAAAGAACACCCCCTCTCCCCACCCATGGTGGCCTAAAGCCAAGGCTCCCAGCCCGGGAGATTAGTTGGGTCATTCTGTTCAGATCCCATGGGCATGTGGCCTCTCCTGCTCTTACCACCTGACCGAGATCTCTGCCCTTAGTCATCCCCTTCCACAAAGGGGCACAGGGACAACCTGCAGGTCAAATTGGCCCAGAGCCTGAATCACCTGAAACCTAAAAATAGGGTGCTTAATGTCACCAATAGAATGCTGAAAGACAAGTATGAATTTCTCCAGGGCCGTGTCCTTTCCCCTAGGCCCTCCCCATTTCTAGGGAGGATGCAGCATAATAGGTGGGGTCGTAGTCTCTGTGTGGGGTTTGTATCCCCAGAGTTTGAATCTCAGCTGATACTTAGCTAGGTGATGTGAGGCAAGTTCATTAATGTCTCCATGCCTCAAATTTCCTTACCTGTAAACCAAGGATAAAAATAGTCCCTACTTCATAGGGATACTGTGAAAACTAAGTGAATGAAACGTGTACGTGCTTACAACAGTGCCTGACAAGAGCATGCGCTCAACTCAAGGTGCCTCTTGTTACTGTCATCGCCCTTCCGTGGAAACAGATGAGGAGCTAGAAGAGCAGGAAGAGCAGGGGCAAATGAGTCTCTGTAGCTCCAATAAGGAGAAAGACAATAATGTGTCCCCAGATCACAGTGAGGTCTTCCCAAATAGCCTCTCATTACAAAAGAACGCAAGCCAAACTCAGATCCCAATTCCATCCCCCTTGGGAACACAACTCTGCAAGACTGGGGTACAGGGCTCTGGTGGTCTGAATCCCCTGCAACCAGACAATGAACTAAGTGACTCTCAACCCTGGCTGCACATGAGAATCACCTGGGAGCTTTAAAAATGATGGCCAGGCTTTACCCTAGACAACTGAATCAATGCCTGGGGGTAGGGCCTGAGTGATTTTTAAAGCCTTCCTGTAATTCTAATGTGCAGCCGGGGTTGAGAGCCACTAAAAGGCTTGTCTTTGGTGGCTCCATGAGATGTAGCACTGGCCATGGGGGAAGGGGAGCTGTGAGGAGTGATCTACTTAAATTACCAGGGAATATGACCTCCATAACATGCAGAGCCCAGTGTCTTTGCACACTCACCTCATAGCCATACTTGTGCTTCAGGTTCCACCGGCAGATGGGGCACTGGCCAGAGGGGTTAGGGGGATCTGGACTTTCCCGGGGAGTCTCTGTGATACGGCCTTCGATCTAGCAGGCAGAGAAAGACAGCCAGTGAGGGAGAGGGCTGTGTGCAGTCTCTAATCCTTGAGCAACCCCTAAAATGGTGGGAATGCTGGTGTAACTTCATCCTTGACAGTCTTGTGGGAACAGGTACTTGGTCTCTCTGCTGGAACTATGGTGGTGGTTCTGTAGTTGCTCATACTGGACCACAGAGAAGTGATTTGGTGGCCTTCAAAGGCAGTGAAAACTGAACTTAATGCTGGTGGAAAGAGGGAGGGGTTTGCTGTATCCGCTGAATGCTACCTTTCCTTCCTCACACAAACAAAAACAACCTTTGGGAAAAAAATAATAAATGCACATAGTAAAAAGTTTCAAGCTGCGTAGGGATGTGGAGTCCAAAGGAAGTCTCCCTCCCATCCTACATACCCTTCTCAGAGGAAACTGCAGTTTTCAGCTTTATCTTACAGAGCTAAGTTTATGCCAGTGGTTCTTAGCCTGACATGATTTTGTCCCCACCAGGGACACTGAATAACGTCTGAGACATGTTTGACTGTCACAACTGGGGGATGGGGTGCTACTGGCATCTAGCAGGAAGCTTAACTATCCTACAATGCACAGGACAGCCCCCACCACAGAGAATTAGCCAGCCCAGGATGCCAACAGTGCCCAGGTGAGAAGTCTGGTCTCTGCCTAGACGAGCAGATATCCGTGAGGACTCCTGCTTCTTCTCGTTCTTTTTTAAAAACACAGATGGGACAATACATTAACCTGTCCTCCTCCTTGCTTTTATTATTTTGGATGCCACCTTTCCAACCATGCTGAGGCCACATGCAAAATGACCTCTGCTGTAGTTATTGTATCCTGTGACACAGCCTTGGAATCACTGAGTGCAATAGACCAGTGAGCTGGGAGTCAGCTCCAATTGCAAGAGGGGGAGTTTAGAAAGTTCTGCTGACTGAAGCCATGGATTATGAGAGCGAGGTTGGGGCAGGCTGAGAGGCTCTGGGAGGGAAGCAACACTGTCTCCTGGGGTAGAACTGGCTGATAGGAAGGGAGCTGGAAGAAATGCTTGGCTGTGCAGGGCACCGCTACCGATCTTTTTGCCAAGGCCATAACTACAATGGAAATAGGGAAGTGTGTTAGGGAAAATGCATAGGTGTGTGGTAGCTTGCGAGGGATTAAGGTGGGCTGTGGAGCAAGAGCTAACATTCACTGACTCCCTATTATATGCCTGGCCCTGTGCTAATCATCGTTCACATGTATCATCTCATTTAACCCCCACAACCTAGTGAGGGAGGCGTCATGATCTGACTTTATAGATGAAGAAAGTGAGACCCCAGAGAGTGAGCAGCCCCCAGTCAGCCAAGGCAGTACCTCTCCAGGAATGGATGGGCTCCCTCCCCCAAGGTTCTCCTAATGCCACCATGTCTCCCTGTTCATTCTACAAATAGCAAATTCATGCCCCACATGAGAAACAGTCTTCACACTCAACAGCCAGATGTGTTTTCTCTCCACCAGCATGGAGTTCACAGGGTGACTGCTCATTTCAGCTTTGAATAAGGAAATAAACAAGGTGCCCTAAGGGGGTGAGGGCCCCCTCAAAAGAATTATTTTGAGGTTAAGCATTGCAAAAGCTGAGGGAGGATTCTGGGGAAGACCCAAAGAGGGAACCTGAAAGCCTTGTTGTGGGGATAAGACTGCCTAGGGTGTATCGAGCTTGGCTGGCTGCCAGAAGGGTTAAATCCCTGGTTGACATGGAAATTATACAGGCTTCTGGGAGCTCTGTGGAGTGGCTGAGGATTTCTTGGAGGCAAGGAAAGCCATGTGAAAACAATGCTGTCTTTTAGGGATTATAGGATAATCTAGGCCCCATGACTCCTGGAGGAAGGGAGGTGAGATGGGCCCAAAGAGGGAAAGGGGGGAGTGAGTAGAGTCATTCTAGCTTTCTTACCAACACACAAGTCAGGATGCTAGCTAGGGAGCCCAGGGTCCAGAGAGTGTCACCTTTTAACTGCATCACTTAAGGAGTAGCTTAGTCTTTCTGGGCAGAAAGGAAAGGAACTGAGATCTAGGATCCTGGCCTTGGATCAGCTTACTCTGGCTCTCTAGTCCTGCCATTGCCTTAGTTTCTTATTTGGAAAACTAATTTATCACCCTCCAAAGAACATATCAGCAAAGACCTCTGAGATCTTGTCATACAAATGGCCACTTTAATCAAGTAACAGATGCTACAATGACTATTTGAGTAACCCCACTATAGCACACAACTTGAAAAATAGACTGTGAGATTTATGGTCACAGAGGGAGCTGATCCTAGAGCTAGGAGTCCAGTTTGGACCTTCGTCCCTCCCTCAGAGGAGCAGCCAGGCAGCTCCAAGTGTTAAAGAGGTTATAAATGGCCAACTCGATGATACTTACTATAGTTGTCTTCCCTTCTTGGATCTCCACCACTACAGAGATAAAGGGGAAAAATTAGGTCAGCCATTTAATAAGGAACAGGGAGTTTCAAATAATAGTTCCAATGGAGCCTTCAGTCTGCACTCTCCCACAGTGCCCACCTCGAAGAGAAAGCGTGCAGGGTTCACCTCCAAGTGCCAAGGCTCTATGCCCTTGAGGCTGGGTGGGGACAAGCCAAATGCCCAAGTAATATCTCTCTGGGATCGAGGATCTACACACTGTTTTTGCCTTTCTAAGCCAAGATTCATCTTGGTTCTATCTAAGGAAATTGGCAAGATCCTGCCCTACTGTGGCTGGCAATAATGACCTAAAAGTATGTGTGGGGGTGGGGGGCAGAAGCATGTAAAAGACCTTCAAAAGTACCCACTGCATGTGTCCTTTTACTAAGAGAATCAGACAGACACAGTTTTTGACCTTGAAGTGTTTGCAATCTAAGATACAGCAATGAACTAACACAGCTTTGGTGGCCCTGGGTAGATAAGCAATGAGACAAGTCACTCCTAACATTCATCCTGAGGGCCTGTTACAGCTGTTTGAGGACAAGTGTGAGTTAAATCCTCATCTCCTCTCCACTCCTCCCTGCAGGGTTGCATTTTGTTATCTACATGGAAGAGGTGTGATATAAGAGGTGGGAGTGTCCTGGCTGGTGTGACTCAGTTTGCTGGGTGTTGTTCGGTTCACCAAAAGGTTGCCAGTTTGATTCCCAGTCAGGGCACATGCCCGGGTTGTGGACTCAATTCCTGGTAGAGGGTTTGCAGGAGATAGCTGATTGATGTCTTGCTTTCACATCAATGTTTCTCTCTCTCCCTTTCTTTCTCTCTCTAAAAAAAAACAAAACAAGAAACAGGTGGGAGTAAGGGGCTTGCAGATACTGGGTCGAGGCAGAAGTTCAAGGAGAGTACTGCAATTTCAGACTGAGAGGGACTCCCTCAGTTTTTTGCCTATTTAGGTCTGGCAGTCAACAGAGAACCTGAGGGAAAAGCAGTAAGTCACACACATCTGTCAGGCTGTACATATTTCCTATCTTTCTTGACTGGGATGCAGAATGACAACCTATCTCCCCCCACCCCCTTTATTGATTTTAGAGAGAGAAGAAGGAATAGGGAGAGAGAGATAGAAACATTGATGACAACTTCAATATTCAAAGGAAGAACCAAGCCAACAGCCCACATTTGGCAAATATAACCAAATAGAAAGTTCTGGGAGATCCATGCTTGTTCTCCCACTTTCTTTAGAAAGAGAGAAGCCATAGCTATTAGCATAGGAACTGGCACATAGCAGATGCTCAATTAATGGGAGAAATATTCATCATGGTCTTCTTCTGACTCGTAATTACCATAATAGAAAACTTGGGCCCTGGAAATTTGGCTCAGCGGTTAGAGCGTTGGCCTGCAGTCCAGAGAGACCCGGGTTCGGTTCCCGCTAAGGGCACGTACCTGGGTTGCAGTTTGTCCCCGGCCCTGGTTGGGTTGTGTGGGTGGCAACCACTTGATGTGTCTCTTTCATGTCGATATTTCTCTCTCCCTCCCTCCCAATCTATCTGAGCAAAAAATGGAAAAATGTCCTTGGGTGAGGATTAAAAAAAAAAAAAGAAAACTTGGGCCCATGTAACTGCAAACTGTCTCCCCACATACTAAAATCATATTTTAATAGCAGCTTGGCTACCACAATTAGTTTTACTCAGCTCTAGCCAAGGCAAGAATACAGATTAGAAAGAGCCTAAAGTACTTAATTTGACAATCTAGGGAAAATTATGGACCACTCCCTAGAAAAATGCCCATAGGCATACATGCAATTAAACAAGGAGTTTGGGAGGCTCACAGACCCCTGAAGCTATTTGGTAATACTGGTTTTCTCTCAGTGGTGGCAGTAAGTGATTTTTAGTTTCTTCTTTATGCCCACCTGTATTTTCTAATTTTTAAAATAAACATGTACTGCTTTTACAATAAAAAATTAACAACAGAGAGAAAGAATATGTCTAAGGAAAAAAAATTAGGCAACTCTAACCCAACCAGAGTCTCACAGCAGCATCTGTGATCACTGAGCTCTGTGACTGACACCTAATTGGACACAGACGGTCTGGAATTGTTGTTCCCCATTTACTTTCTGGGTAAGATAGACCATTCATGAATACTCATTACTTCTAAATAACCAACCTGAGAGCCCTTCTATGTCTAACACCAGACACAAAATTGTGACAATGGCCAGGAAGGCCCTGAGGCCTTCTCCCAAACACTGCAGTTACCAATCAAAAGACAAACTAGGTTTCTCCCTATAAAAGAAAATGTACCCCCCAACGCCACACACACACCAGATCTACTTGTTCAAGAACAGAGACCAGGCCCTGGCTGGTTTGGCTCAGCGGTTAGAGCGTCGGCCCACGGACCAGAGAGTCCTGGGTTCAGTTCCCGCTAAGGGCACTTACCATGGTTGCAGTTTGTCCCCGGCCCCAGCTGGGGTCGTGTGGGTGGCAACCAATGTGTCTCTCTCACGTCGATGTCTCTCTCTCTCTCTCCCTCCCTCTCTATATGAAGTTAAAAAAAAAAAGAAGAAGAAGAAGAACAGAGACCAACCTAAATGGGATGTGGGTGAGACTCAACCTGGTGCTCAGTCTGGAGGCCAGCACAGTTGCAGAGGGACTGTCACTGCAATGTGTCAACCTATAAATGTGAGGATGCAAAAGGAGTGCATGACTCCAGTCCAGTAGGGCTTCTAGGCACCCCAGAAATATTGCAACTTTGCAAAAAACAAGTTGGACCACAGATGACCAAATCCGAGCAACAGGTGGGAGGAAAGGTTTTAAGAATCATGATAGGAAACAAAAGGAGAAACTTTAAGGTACCACTGGAGTCAGCACTAGAACAATGCCCTGAAACACAAAGCAGATAAACATGTGGTTCCCTTCTCCATGCAGACACTTGGGTCCTAATCATGAGGTAAACAAGTCTAACAAAACACACATCACTCCCGGCAAAGACCCAAACCCTGAAGTCATCCCACTGGCCCCTGGAAAAGAGATCAAAGACTATGGCAAGCTCCACTGTTCACAAGTTCCCCACACAGCAACTCTGAGCCAGTGAATCATCTTACTATAAGCCAGTGGGTAAAACATTAGGCAGATGCTTATCTAATAGAGACAATTTGTCAAACCAGAAGGAATGACCTGAGAATTCACATGAGATTGAGATTAATCAGGGTGGTGTCTCAGTTCTAGGGCAGAAGGCCTGGCTGCAGCCTGAAGAGGCTCTGATAGATTTTAAGCCTCTCAAAACAGGAGATAGGCATCAAAATAGTATTGATTTTCAGTGTGCATACAAAACATGTCAAAACCAAACAAAACCTGAGATCCATTTTGTCCCTGGCCTCCTCTCCATTTAGAGAAGTGGGGGTGGCTAAGAAAAGCTGGACTAAGAGATTTAGGCACTAACAGAAAACTTGTTTAGAAAAAGATGGAATCACCCTTGTGTTCTGAGAAATGGCTATATCAAATAAACTCAGGAAAGAAATAGGGCAATTTTCTAAACTAGAATTAAGGGCCAAAGTCTTTGAAGACAGGCACTTCTCATACAAATCAAATAATCTGTTCCACAGGAGGCAACACATTTGCTGGGCACCCATGGCCCGTGCAGCCCAGTCTCATCTATTGCAGAGAGTTACAACAGACTAGGAAGACAAAGTCTTTGCCCTAGGGGAGAAAAGGGAACTAAACCAAGTATGGGAACTTCACCATAATAAAGTCCATGCCTCGTAAAGAGGTCCTTTGAGTGCTTCAGTAAATACTCGTCTAGGATGGAGTCCAAGATAACTGAATTGTAACAGTCTAGAGCAAACAGCATTGCGGTGAGATTGCAGTGAACACAGAAAGACCTTGATGGCCACATAAACACAGACACAGTGAAAAGCAGCAGTATAAAGACCCAACTGTTTAAGTAAAGGAGGAAGTGAGGAAAGATGAATGATGAGTGGAGGGCACTGCTACAGAGAGTGCCCAGAGACCAAGATCCTTCTTGGAAAGGATCCATAGAAACCAAGTCCCAAGCAGAGTATGAAGAATGGAATAACTGAATTGAAGATGACTAAGAAGTGGCAATGACTGTCTTACAGGGTCAGGGAGTAAAGTGCGTGTTTGGGATGTGTGCCTGCATTTCTGGTCATTAACTACTTTTCTCAAACTCCTCCCTCTCTCAAGCACCTCTCCCTCCTGTTCATCTTTAATTCTACCACTGAACCTTTCTGATTCTCTTGTCACCTCCCTATTTCTTTTCTCTTGGACCTGTGAGGGAATGTCCCTCTGCACTATACTTCAGAATGAGGAGTCTTATTGCTGCACAAAATCCTCTTTCCACCAGCAGGTTATTTTCAATTCTTTTTTTGTTGTTGTTAAACCTCACCTGAGGATATTTTTCCACTGATTTTTACATAGAGTGGAAAGGAGGGAGGGTGGGTGACAAACATCAATGTGAGAGAGACACATCACTTGGTTGCCTCTCACACGGTCAGGATCTAACCCACAACCTTTTGGTCCACAGGCTGACGTTCTAACCACTGAGCCAAATAGGCTAGGCAATTTCTCAATTCTTTCAAGTCCCTCAACTCACTCCTTGCTCAAAGCTTTCAGCTATAGGGCTGCCTTGTCTGAAATGCTATAGGTAACTGAAAAAGAAAGTTCCCTTTAGCCCGGCCAGTGTGGCTCAATGGCATCATCTCATGGACTGAGAGGTCCTGGTTCTATTCCTGATCAGGGCACATGCCCAGGTTGCGGGCTCGGTCCCCAATAGGGGGCGTGCAGGAGGCAGCCGATCAATGTTTCTCTCACATCAATGTTTCTCTCTCTCTTTCCCTTCCTCTCTCTAAAAAGTCAATAAAAACATATTTAAAAATTGGCTTATAATGAAATTATCATATATAAAAATCAAAACAAAACAAACAAAAACACCAGAATATTTCCTTCAGCCTTTACTCATTTCAGCACTCTCTGATCTAGGTGTCTGATAGATCATTAGTGTAAATTCAGATAATCATGTTTATTTTTCTTACTTTAAATACACTTCCTTCATAAGAGCTGTAAGAGTGATAAGGCAGGAATTAGGTCTAAACACAAAGTTTGCTAAGTCTGGCAGTGCTAACCCTAAAGGCACTAACTGGTCTTCAGCAAGTTAATTGATGAGGGCTTTCAGGGAAGGGAAGGAACCATGGGGAAGTCCTGCCGTGGAGTACCACGGTGATGTTGCTGGTGGAGAGGGAAGAGCACTGGGTCTACTTCCAACTCTACCATTCACGTCTGGCTGGTGTGGCTCACTGGTTGTGCATCGACCCATGCACCAACTCTACCACTCACTAGCTGTGATGGTGGGCAGTTACTGAACCTTTCTGGACATCATTTGTAAAAATGTCAGTAATATCCACTTTTTTATTTTTGTTCATATAGAGTGGGAGGGAGAGAGAGAAAGAGAGGGAGAGAGAGAGAAACATCGATGTGAAAGGGACACAAGTGGCTGCCTCCCACAGGACCCAACCAGGGCTGAAGACAAACTGCAACTGAGGTCCGTGCCCTTAGCGCAGTGGTTCTCAACCTTCCTAATGCTGCGACCCTTTAATACAGTTCCTCATGTTGTGGTGACCCCCAGCCATAAAATTATTTTCATTACTACTTCATAACTGTAATTTTGCTACTGTTATGAATCACTATCAGAAATATGTGTTTTCCGATGGTCTTAGGCGACCCCTGTGAAAGGGTCATTCAACCCCCAGGTTGAGAACCGCTATAGCGGGAACCGAAGCCGAGTCTCTCTGGACTGCAGGTTGATGCTCTAACCGCTGAGTCAAACTGGCCAGGGCAGCAATATCCACCTTTAAGGATTATTGAGAAGATTAAATAAATGTATGTGGAAAACTTAGCAGTGTTTGCAGCAGGCATTCAATAAACCACAATTTCCATTTTTGTCTTCCTTCAGTCTTGCTTCTTTCATAATATTTTTTGGCTTTGTGTATCCCTTGTCAAACTTTAGACTAGGCGTTCTCTCTTTTTAACAAAACAAGCCTTTTAATTGCTTCTATTACTCAAAAAAGCCTCATTTTTAAAAAATTTAGCTTCCTGACTCTGGACTTGTGCCTTCAATACTTTCCCAACGATTTTCTGCTCAATAAGGAAAGCACGCTTGATTCTGTCACGGACACATTTAGCACACATGGATCCACCATAGGCCCTGCTGACATGTTTTTTCGTTTTAGACAATTTCATGAGAACTTTAGGTCTCACAGCATGGACTCCACGAAGTCGGCCTGGGCACACGCCCCCATCCAGATTTCTGTGCTTTCCCAACCTTCTTGGTATAAAGGTAAACAATTCTATTACCAGGGGTTCAGACAGCCTAGTTTTGTGAGAGGCTGTATTGTAGGACAGCGTCCAATGGTATATCAAACGCTGGACCTTTGTGAATGCCTAAAGTTACGGTCCCCGGAAGAGGTAGACTAGGCTTTCTCAACAGCAACATGACTCACATTTTAGGCCAGGCTGTTCTTTGTTGTGAAGGACTGTCCTGTGACTGTAAGATTACAGCAACATTCCTAGACTCTACCCACCAGATGCTAGGAGTACTAGTTGTGACAACCAAAAATGTCTCTAGACACTGACAAATATTCCTTGGGGAACAAAACTGCCCCCAACTGAGAACCACTGCTTTAGACTGAGTCTTTACTCTCAGTCAGGAAGTGTGCTGAGTGCTCATGAACTCTGACTCAAATTAAGTAGTATTATCTGATACTTTGAAAAGTAGAATGCTCGAATATTTTCAGCCAGACATCAACTTCCTCCCCCAACTTTAAATTATATGTGCACAATATTATTTGGGTGTCAAATATACCAGCTGGGACCAGTCAAAATTAGGTATATATGTAGTATTTAATGCTTTACACCTAAAGGGTAGAATATCAAGGAAAGCTGTCTTGTTTTTTTTTTAAATCCTCACCGGAGGATATTTTTCCATGTATCTTCAGATAGAGTGGGAGGGAGGGAGAGAGAGAAAGAGAAACATTGAGGTGAAAGACACATCGACTGGTTTCCTCCCGCATGACCCTGACCAGGGCCGGGGACCAAACTGCAACCGAGGTATATGCCCTTGACAGAAATTGAACCCGCAACTCTTTAGTCCTTGGGCTGACCCTCTAACCGCTGAGCCAAACCGGCCAGGGCTAAGAAAAGTTTTTTTCATTTAAAGACTTTGGAGCCCTGGCCAGGTAGCTCAGTTGGTTAGAGCTTTGTCCCAATATGCCAAGGTTGCGGGTTCAATCTCTGCTCAGGGCATATACAGGAATCAATCAATGAATGCATAAATGAATGGAACAACACACAAATGTTTCTCTCTTTCTTTTTAAAATCAATAAATAAGAAACCTAAAAAAAATAAATAAAGGCTTTGGAGACAGGTGGTTTTCCTTTAAGATTACATCATTTCAATTATTTAGTGTTTAGGTCTGACAGTGAGTAACAATGAAGAGAAACCAACCCAAGTATTTATGGTGAGGAGGACTTCGAATACCCATCTGATTATACAGTCCATCATTTCACAAACTCTCCAACAGAAAAAAATCCAAATCTAAAATATTCCTTTGTAAAAAAAACCAAAACTATTCTTCTTGCCCATCCACTGGGGACATAGTGAAGTACTGTTTTCAACTTCATAACGGATGTGTAAATTGCAGCTCTTACTGTTTGACACCTGGAAGACACCCTCAACTATGTTATGGACATATGTTTATTTTGCAGCATGGGACTAGATGAAACACCTTTTCCAAGTCCTTTCTATTAGCAGCATGGTCTCTCGTGTCTTTCTTTATTAATGGGTTAGTCTACCTAATGTTAACCAGGCAGTATCCAGAATTCTTTTTTTTTTTTTTTAGCAAATGTTACATCTTCTCTTTATGCTAAATTCTTCACACATACCTGCTATTTCCATTTCTTCATAAACTATCTCTTTGATTTTCTATTCTATTGAAATTGCTGTTTGAAAGCTAAAAAAAGAGACCTCTTCCAAAACAAATCTAACGGCCTGTTCATTAGGCTCTTTTTTGAATTGCCTGTTCCTTCTGAAAACAAAGATCACTCTCTTCCTCTGGATATGTCTCAGCTTTGGTTAAAGGATACACTGGACAATACTGTGCCAGAATCTTAAAAAAAAAAACAAACACACACACACACACATACACAACACACATCACTTCTTCTGCACATCACTCATCCTTTCCTGCTTCCAGCAGTGCACAAAGGAAGGCTATGTCCTGAAACACCTTTTTTCACTCTCTGCCAGATCCCATCCTTTCATAAGCCCATTCAAGATATCCTCCTTATGAAAACTTCCAATTGGGTTTTCTGTTTCCACTAACCGAATCTCCCTGAACTTTATTGCAGCGTATACATATCTTATTAGAACCTATCTTCCCAGGAAAAGGGCTGTATCTTCTTTCTCCAGAATCCTTTGACAGCCTGAAATAAAGCATTTGGCCTTTAGTAAGCTCTCAGCTCAATGCAAGAATCAGGCTGCCTTTCAAGACTTAAGATTAATGAAAAGCAAGAATACCATCCAACATTTGCCTCTGTTTCAGCTGTTCAATGGCCTTTCCACCTTAACTTCCATTTCTCAGAGAGACTAGCGGTGGAGCAGAAAAAGCCGCCATCTGATCACAGCATTTTCGGACGAGCAACTGTAAAGGAAGTCGCCTGGGAGGGTCTCCAGATGTCCGTCCCTCATGATCCAGGGTTCTTTAATGCATGAGGCGGCCGTTTGGACACCTCGGAAGGAAGAATTAACAAGCAGACCCTTACCGAAAAATTTCCTGAACTGTGGGACTGGTTTCTCTTCTGCCCTTACTAAAGAGGTCTTTTTCTCCGTCCTCCCCGTCCGCCCCCGCCTCTGACCGTGGGGACTCTCACGAGGGGTGGGAAGACAAGATAACAGTACCAGGGTCTGGAAGGGGCTTTCAAGCACCCCGGGAGCGCCAGCATCTCCGACGTTGCATTACCGCGCGAAGGAAAGAGGGAGGGGGCACGGAGCAAGCAACCCCCGCCGCTGCTCTTCAGCTCTGGGAGGTCGTCGGGACTCAGGACTCACCTTCCCTGAACCCGCGATCTGGAGGCCGAGCCCAGCTAGTCGCGGCAGGGCTGGCCAGGAGCCCTCGGAACAGCCGCCCACAACCCGACACCAGTACACAGAGAGCTGCCATCTTGGAAACCAACAATGACCTCCTGGGCACTTCCGCTTCCGGAACGGCGCGCGCGCAGCCGCAATGGTGGTCGAGAACTGGGAGGCTTGTGGGCATCTTGCTCCGGTTCCTCCTGTCATTTCCTTTTCTCTCTTCTTTCCAGCTTTTGGCTGAGGGAAGAGGCCTCTGTGCTTCGTTCCGAGGATCTGGGGAGGTCTTCTAGCTCCTGTCTGCCGGTCCTCGAAGTCTCCAAGGTCTCTTTCGTTCCCTGGCAGGCTTCCTCGGTAAAATCACATGCACTACCCCTATCCTTTATCTTTAAAGCTTTTTCTTCTCTGCAAGTCAGATGTAGATTTTCAGCTTCTTGTGGCTGGAGCTAGGCCTGCACAGGAGAGGTAGGAATGGTTAGGAACTCTGGTTCTGGAGCATCAGGTATCAGACAAACCTAGGATAGAATTAATGTCCCCCCTCCCCGACTCCTCTTTCATTCTCTTCTTTGACCAGGGCTTTTGCACAGCTGTTTTCTCTGTCTGCTCTTGGCCTACCTGGTAAACCCCTACTTATTTCTCAGAGCTCAGCTCAAACTTCCCTTCCTCAGTGGAGTTTTCCTTAAAAACCTCCCTGTTTTGTCAGCATCAGATACCTCTCCATCTTAGTACTTGGCATAATTGCAGTTTTACATTTGCTTGTATTATAATATGTTTCCCCATCAGACTCTGTGCCCCATGAAGGCAAAGACGTTGTATTCTGTTGACTTTTCATATCTCCAGCACATAGCACAGTGCCTGACACATAATGAGTGCAACATATACCTGTTAGATGAATATAGAACCCATTTTATAGGGTTGTTTTGAAGATTAGATGAGATAAAGCATACGTGTACAATAAACATAAGCTAATTGAGATGGCCTTTGTGCTACACATACTTTTCACACACACACACACACACACACACACACACAAAGTTTTTTATTGATTTTAGAGAAAAAGGAAGGGAGAAGGAGAGAGATAGAAACATCCACATGGATCAGCTGCCTCCTGCACACACACACACACACCCCTCCCTGCTTTTGGCTAAGGGAAGAGGCCAGAAACCCCGGCCTGTGCCTTGACCGGAAACCCAACCGGTGGCTGCCACCCAATTGAAGGGCCCTTTCTTTTCTTAAATTTTTATTTATTGATTTTAGAGAGAGAAAGAAAGAAACGTCTATTTGTTGTTCCACTTATTTATGGATTCATTGGTTGATTCTTATATGTGCCCTGACTGGGGGTCAAATCTGAAACCTTGACAAATGGGGACAATGCTTTAACCAACTGAGCCACCCGGCCAGGGCAAAGGCTCTTTTCAAGAGCCAGAGTTTCTGGGGCTGTTGGCAGAGTCACTGTCCTGCATGAGAAGAGCTATTTCCAGTTCCAGTGTCCATCTTGGAATGTGAAGAGCAGCAGACACTATGCACATCTCTGAGAGAAGGGAGGCTGATGAACCACTTTGTATCCTGACAAGATCTTCCTTCCACCCCATCTCCTGGGGAGCCCAGCCCCTTTGCTCCCACACATTTACTAAGGAAATCTTCCTTCTTTCCTCTACCCCTTTCAGGAACTAACTCAAGTCCCAAATAAACTGTCCAAATGAAGATGTTCAGGATAACATTCACAAGAGACAAACCCAGAAATGTTCATTTTGCCAAGAAAAACTTCAACTCCCGGCAGAAATGATCTGGTCTAGTGACTTGATTCCAGCCAACAGGACAGCCTGCTCAGGCCAGAGTAAAGGCCAGAGTTAGGAGGCCATGGGCAGGTCAGCCTGTCTATGGCTTCAGGGCTAAGGAAGTTTTGGTTCCAGCTGTGGATGAATGTGCTCTTCCAGCCTTCCTCCCACCTCGCCCAGGAAGAGTGGGTTAGAGCCAAGAGCCACACAGATGTTCACCATGAATGAGCAGAGGCAAGGAAAAGGCGCGGGAAGGTGGAGAGAGCTGATTTGGTAGAGACCATGATGGGAGGGAGCTGCAAGAGAAACCTGGAGAAAGGACTGTCAGAGTGCATGACTGTCAGGTTTGCTTTCTCCTAATTAATGTGGTTTCCTTACAAACCCCCTGCTGATTCGCAGCTGGCCCAAGCAACCATAACAACATGTGGCCTGCCTTGACTGGGCCAGCAGCTGAGGCCGTGAGCTTCCCAAGAAAGGGTCTGGTTTCATTTGCAGCCTCTGCCCCTCCTCCCAACCTGGCTTTGTGCAGATGAGGAAGGGACAGTACCTCAATTAGGAGGGCATGTGGTGTTTTGGGGACAACCAGGAGTGCTTGTTTGGCCTGGCTGCTCACGGTGGTTTCCCATGACATTTAAAAAAGAGCATTTTCTGCTTGTTTGGGCTGCTGCTTCCAAACAGGTATGAATGGGGGTGGGTGAAGAGAGCTTGGACAAAGAACCCCCTGCTCTGTGGTGGCCTCTCTACAGGTGTGCCCTGTTTGACACAGTGGACTTGGAAACAATCACATGTCTCTAGAGTCCTTGCTAATTCATTGTTTTTCATAGATTTTTCAGGGTGTTCTTTTTCTCATTAGGGCTGTAACTCTGTGCAAGTTATTAATCTTATCCTCTCCTTTGTTCATTGATTCATTTCACTTGCAAGTATCAATTGAGCAGCTACTATGTGCCTTTTGTAAACAAATGATGAAATATAATTGAGGGGGAGGGGTACTCTCCAGGGATGAAAGCTCTTGACTGACAAAGAAACATTTTGTAAACCAGATGATGGCCCTGGGCTTTATTTGCTTTCTTTCCACTCATTCCCCCCATGCCTGTTTAAAAATTTATGTTTTTTAAAGTAAAATAAAACACACACAGAAGAAGTACATAAAGTCTAAATGAACCATATAACAGATTACTTGTAAAACAAAACTGATTCATTTCTATACTGGATCACAAGGGCATGTTGTTACCCTAATATGGAAAGGGGGGGGGGGATACAAAAAAGGAAGTGAAATTGGTGAGAGGTAGTTTTAGGGGTCTTCAGAACTCATAACCTTTCAGGAAACTGAGGCCAGAGGAAAGATACCCCAAACAAAACTGCTGAAGAAGAGAAAGCCTGCTTGGCCCTTGTGTGCATTCCGTAGGCCCAGGCCAGACCCTCCCCGAGTGAGTGTACCTGGGTGGGACCTCCAGTGCTTCACTGGCATTAGCCTCATCCCAGCTTCAGCCAGTGGTTAGAGCCAGTGAGAACTGCTCAACTCAGTTTCCTCCTAAACTAAGGCAGCCCTGGCTGTGGCTGGGCACTTCAGCAGAGGGCTAGATGCCCTTTCTAAAGAGTCTTCATGTCCATGTCAGGCTGAGAAACTCATCAGATCTCTTTCTCCTGGTTCCTGAATTCAGTTCTTGCATAAGGAGATTTTAACCTCCTAGAGTGCTTTGGCACTTTTGGCACATTTTTGCTAATAGGTCAAAGATGGCACCCTGGGCAGATGTTGTCCCTAGTACGTACAAAGCAAAAGGAAAGAGCTGCAGACTGAAAACCAGCTCTGCTCCACCCAACAGGCAACCTAAAGTCAGATACACTTTCTGGATCTCAGTTTCTTCATCTGTAAGGGGTCCCGTCTGGTTCTAGAATTCTGATTCTTTTTTTTTTTTTACATCATACAACAATACATTTTCTTTTTTTCTTCCTTTTTTATTAATTTATTTTTGTTACAGATGTCCCCCCCCCTTCCCCTGCCACAGACACCCTCCTCCCTATCCCGCCCCCTGCCAAGCATTGTTGTCTATGTCCATTGGTTACACATACATGCACGTAAGTTCTTTGGTTTATCTCATCCCTACACCCCCTTCTCCTCTGAGGTTTGTCGGTCTGAACCATACTCTTTTCTATGTCTCTGGGTCCGTTTTGTTCATCAGCTTTTTTTGTTCATTATATTCCACAAATAAGTGAGGTCATGTGGTATTTATCTTTCTCTAATTGGCTTATCTCACTTAGCATAATATGCTTCAGGTCCCCCCATGTCGTCTCAAAGGATAATAGATCTCTCTTTCTTACAGTTTAATAGTACTCCATTGTGTATATGTACCACAGCTTTTTTATTCACTCATCTATTGATGGACACTTGGGCTGTTTCCAGATATTAGCTATTGTAAATAGTGCTGCTATGAGCATGGGGGTACATATATTCTTTCTGATTGGTGTTTCAGGCTTCTTAGGATATATTCCTAGAAGTGGGATCACTGGATCAAATGGCAGTTCAATTTTTAATTTTTTGAGGAAACACCATATTGTTTTCCATAGTGGCTGCAACAGTCTGCATTCCCACCAGCAGTACTAGAGTCCCCTTTTCTCCACACCCTCGCCAACACTTGTTGTTTGGTAGAATTCTGATTCTATAAACATTCCCATCCTTGTAACCCAAAATGATAGAGTTCAGTCTTTAGCTTTCTCTTCCCCAGTCTGCTCTCCTTTAAAGATCTCACCCACTTTTACTCCTTAGCTCTCACCTTGAAGCTGATAAGTCCAAATTCTGTAGCAACACTCCTTTGAGCTCCAACCTCTGACTGTCTACAGAAATTTCTCTTTGGTTTTTCTGAAGGAGTTTAAACATGCACCATGTCTAAATAAGGTCACCTGGTGAATGTTATCCTCACTCGAGGACATTTTTCCATTTTTTGTTCAGATAGAGCGGGAGGGAGAGAGAGAGAGAGAAACATCGACGTGAAGGGACACATCGAGTGGCTGCCACCCGCACAACCAACCAGGGCCGGGGACAAACTGCAGCCGAGGTATGTGCTCTTAGCGGGAACCGAACCCGGGTCTCTCTGTACCACAGGCTGACGCTCCAACCGCTGAGCCAAACCGGCCAGGGCGTGACTGTTATCAATACTGTCCATCTCTCTCTGTCACAGTGTCAGCATTGACTGCCTTTCGTTCATTTTCCAAGGTGTTCATCAGTTTCACAGTTTTCAAAGTCACCTCATTATTTCTTTCTCTTCCTTACCATTTCAATTTCCACCGTCTTCTAAAAGGGCAGTTTCCCCATTGCCTTCCAT